ATATAAAGCCTTTACGGATTAATATCACAACGGTTTTTGCGAAAGCAGCCGTTGTATAAATTTTTAGCTTTTATTAATAATAATTTTAAATATTATTCAAAATAAATAATTAAAACGAATTATTCCAGTCCAATTGTTCGTCGTGGTATGAAATTTACTAAAACAAAAAAATATTTGGTGCTTGAAAAATTCGAGCATACATTGTGAGAGAAAAAAATAATTGTCAAAATCAATTCATATTTTGATAGAAAATTTATGATATACTCATATTAATTGTCTTTATGAATGATTAGATATGTTCCTGCTTTTTGTTTATTACGTGTTACAAATGATGCTTTGAAACGATATATAAATTTTGTGGAGTTATTCTTCCAAATAAATTGAAATTCAGAAAAATGAGATTGTACAGTTACTTACCGTGTGTTATCAGTTTTGAAGCTATAAAGATAAGACATTTGTTTCCGTTAATACAGTCATTAAAAAAATATAAAATATAAGCAATCCTTTTAAAATGTAGGTTTTATACATGTTACTGAACTGGAGTTTAAAGAAGCAAATTTTCGATTTATTTCAACTTATGCTGTTATATTTTAACCACATGAGACCAATTCAGAAAAACAAACGTGAATTACGCCATAAGGTGAATTTAGGAATGTTTTCTTTTTACATTTAAAGAGTTGTACATTTACATTTAATGTTTACATTTAATGTGTTACGCTTTTACATTTTCTAAGCAGTTAAATATTTAAATGTTAAGCAAATACAAATTTTACTGAATCTCCATGCGTAAGAATCTTTCTCAATTTCTTGCGTAAGTAATTTAATAATAATTATACAATTTACATAACTTATTTATTCTCTTTTCAGTCTAGGAATCTTTCTTAATTAGTGGAAAATACAATAATTAAATTTTATATACCTCAGGTTTCTAACAGATGTTAAAATACATGGGAGTTCCTCTAGTTGATACATGCCAACTTAAAATAAGTTTTATTTAAGGAAAATGTTTTTTCTTGTTCTTAAAACTAAAATAAAAATTAGTCTTTTGAAAAGTCAAATAATTTCTAACTAAGCTTGTACTTTAAATTTTTAAAGGAAATGTTAATTGTATGCAATATTTAAACTGTAACGAACAACTGTACAGAATAACGAATAATTTAAATTTTACTTACTGACTTTATGCACTGTAAAAATAGATAAAAAAATCAAGAAAAAATATATCGTATTGAATAGGATATCAGTTTATGTATTTTATTTAAGGAAATCGATTATAATAATTATAATATTGTCTAGGAATAATCCTTATTCAGAGTGACAGCTTAAGAAAAGTAATCGAATGCTTAACTTAGAATGAAGAAACGATTAAAAACTATATTTATGCATTTATATTTGAACTTTTCTGTTTGGAGTATTTAACTTAGAAACAAAAAACAAAATAGCATTTTCAGCAGAATATAAAATATTATGTTATGTTATTTAGATCATCTAAAGTCATTGGTGTCAGCGAAATGCCATGTTTCATCATATACAAGCATTGATTTAAATACAAGTTCGTTGGAGATATTAGCATTCGCCAAAAGCATTTCAAATTTTAATTTACATTTGGTGAGCCAGTTTACATGAATAACAAAGCCTATATTTTATTTACTAAAATTTTGTGACTTTCATTGAGCTGTCAATAATCTGATGATGTATAAAGACAAAGTTTTCTCAGTAGAAGCCTTGTTAGGAGTTGCAAAGACACAAAATTATAGCTAGATATGTTATGTATATGTTTTAAAGACACAGAGAATCCTTTATTTGAAAAGAATGCTGGTTTGAAATTTCGGTCTCATTGTTATTTGTTGAAGTAATTTGGAAATTGGAATTTCTATACTATGAAAAATTATTTAGATATATGAATGAGAAGCATGCATAAGAAAAGTGATGCCAGTAACTGAACAAAACAAGAAACTAAGAATATTATCCAACTTAGTACATACTTCCGAGATTAGAAGAAGTCCAAAAATCTAATTTAATTACAAACTCTCACTTCAAGAGTGCTCATTTACTTATAGATTATATGACTTCTCAATAAACAGAAAAAATATGCATCATTACCTGATTTACAAAAGATTTTTTGATCTCTTATTGCGATTTGAATTTTTGAAACGAAAGAACTTGAAAAGAATTCATTTTCCAGGCAAGAAAAAAGATTTTGAATTCATTAGTCATATATTTCTTCATTGCCAGATTTTAAAGCGTTTAATTTTATTTTCATCAGATAATCAAAAAAATGACATATGTCTCTATAATATGAACAGACTATTAAGGCATCAATGATTAATATCAAATACCATTTTATCGTAATGAAATTTTACTTACCAGTTGGACGAGCTTCACCTAGAGGTAATTATGAAGAATTTTTTTAAAAATGAAATAAATTTATCAATTATAAATATTTTTTCAAGGAAATCACGCTTTAAAATTTAATGTATCATATTTTTCCTTTCCATGACAAAAGTTTTTCTTGTACAATCATACATAAAAATGTATATCATGCCAACTAAGGTATTACAACTGGTTGAGTTAGTCATTCTTTCGCAGACTATTATGCATAGATAATTTTCTTCAGTACATGCTGCAATTATAGTTGTTTTTATTACTTAGAAAAATTGCAACTTTAACAGTAATATTTGAGAGTACAAATTGCAACAATTAAATAATCGGAACAATTTAGATCATATCATTTATATCTTTGATACTTTTTGCAAGAAACTAATTTATAAAATAGATGCACCGTTTATCTGTGTATAATTCATGGGCCATTTAAAAAAAAGGGGGTTTTGAAAAGCCACCACCATTTTGCAATGCACAAAGCTAATTGGAAAGGTTTTTGTTTTTATTTTTTTTATCTGATATTTTTAGACTTATTGAAGCTTATCTGTCGTTAGGCTGAATAGATATTATCTAAAGAATCCCTTACTCAGACTGAATTTGCTTTAGCTATTACATGGTCGTCATTAAACTTTGGAGTATAAGGAACGATTTGAAGTTCAAAAACTATAAACTTGACTTAAGAATTTTCATACAGTAAAATATACTTAAAATTCAACAAATTCTAAGATATATATGATCGTCATTGAAACTATCTGTATCAATATAAGCGTAGTATTATTATTACTATTTTTTTTTCTTTTCTTGAAATTCGGTCAGCAAAATTGAACCAATATGGCCTTAGAATAACTTAAAGTTTTAATGTATTTCAAATAAATATAATTTTTACTTTACTTTAGCTTCAAAATAGGAAAAACGATTATTAATTCTTCTATCTCTCATTATATCTTAATAGAAATTTAACAACTATAAATCAGATTAGTATTCTAATGTTAATTAGTTACACAAAATGAACCTTTATAAAGATCATTAAATAATAATTTATCTCAAAATTTACCACAGCGATATTAATTAGAAATATTTATAACTTTTTAAATGCAAATGTCGATAATTTTGAAGCTCTTTTTGTTTATAATATTTGCTTTCCTGTTTTTTAACTCAGATATTCCATTCAATGTTAACTTAAGACACTTACATAAAGCTAAAAGGGTGACTCCGAGGATAAGTACGAGAGAGTTCATGTTTTCTTGGATACTTAGGAAAAGGTGTGAAATATTGTCTACAGATCCTCTTTTTGTAGGACATGATATATTTATCCAAGTAATTATAACAATAAAAAGATTTTATCGGTGTTTTACAGCTGCAACAGTCAAATCAGTGAATATTCTGAACACACAAAAGTGAATGGAAATAAAAAAATATTATTTCCGTTAGAAGATTCCAAGACATTTTTATTTATTGATCACCAAAACTTACGACATTTTGGAGATCATTTTTTTCTAGTGAAAAAAAAACTAGTTTCCTAATATTACTTATAATTAAATGTAATTTTAATTAAAAAAATTAGGGTTTTATTTAATTATATGTGATGAACAAATAAATGAAATCTTAATATATGTGAAAATTTATACTAACTTTCCTTATATTATTGATTGTAGCATGCATTTCCTAATAAAGAATTTTATTTGCTTGAGCTGTTATTTTATTTGTTCAACATTATTTTCCATTTTAAAACTTTTTCTTTCCCGCTGAAATTCTAAATGTTTTGAAAACTATAACAAATTTATAAGATTTTTTTTGTTGCTTTTCTTAGCTTTTTTTACACGCTGTTTTGTTGCACAACAATCATAAAACTAAAAAAATTACGGATGGTGAAGAAATTTTACAAGAAGTCCCATTGAAGTGAAAAAAAAATCGAAAATTAATTCAAGAATTATTTAATCGTGATAAAAATTATTAATAGTAATAAAAATTATTCATTCCTGTATTCTGAAGAAATGCAACTATAAAGTTGTAATTTAGCATACGGTAGAGGTTATTTTTTATTTACGTTCTTAAAACGAGTTTTTCCTTTTTTCAGTATTCTCTTTCTTGAAAAAAAGTTATTTCATATTCAAGTTCATAGTTCCTGATTTTTTTTAGGAAGCTAAGAACAAATTATAAATTTTTATAGAAAAACTTATTGGCGTCTTTCGAGATCTATGATTTTAAAACTTGCTCTTGAATTGATGCCGAGACTATCAGGAAGAAAAGAAAGAAGTTAGATAATACAAGATACTATTTTTTAAAATTTAATAAAAATTATTCATGAGAGGTAAAAAATTTTTCTTACTTGAACTGTTGTATTAATTTCCGGAACAGCTTAGTCATAACAAATGTTTTACTGTATATTTCATGTAGTAACTTTGTAGAATTTAAGTCTAATTTTTGGCCATGTGAGATAATCTGAATTTTTTTAGGGAGGAAGGATATTGATCCCAAGAAAATAAGCGAATACATTTGGGAAAAATCAATTTATTATACTTAGAGTTTGGCTATATTTAGAAATAATGAAATCAAATAAGAAATTCCTTCAAATGGACCAAGAGAAACATTATCTTAACCTCAAGAATTTCGGTTAAGATATAAATTCAACGGTTTGGACTGAGAGGCCGCAGCCCCTCAAACAGTTCACCAATAATTTGAAATTAAAAGTAAGTGTATTGTTCCAAACAGACAGTTAGGAGCATGGGAAGAGATCCATGGTTGGTGTTTTATCTAAAGTTAATATAGCTAGGAACAAAGTTAACCCCCCGTAATCAATATTAAATTTGAATATAATTTGGCGAAAACGAATCGCCATAGAGACTGAGAGAATTATTATAATCATGTAACTGAAACATTTTTGTGTTAAGAAATAAAGAATAAACAATTGTAGATAGATTCTGTCTTCGATTTTGTCGTGGCAGTGAGTTAAGGAGTTTTTCATTTGTATTGAAATAAAAAGTTAGCCGTTACACTGATTGTTGAGAAAAAAATAAAATATTTCTATTTCCTTTTTTTTTAATAAAATGTAATAAAAATTAAATAATTGATTTAATTTAATTAAAATTAGATTAGATTAAAAAATTAGATTAATAAAATTAGATTAAAAAATTAACTTAAGAAATTAAAGAAATTTTAAAAACTAAGAAATATGCTATGCCCTTTACGGCATCGCAATAATATAACAAGTAAAACTCATTCCAATTTTTATTTTTCTAAATACAGTGGATTAATTTGTACTGTTGATTAGTTTTCAAATCTAGGTAATCATTCATTTAGTTACAATTAACGTATTAAAAAAATTGCTTTTTCATAAACTAAAATAACTAAATACATTATTAGAATTTTCCTTATTGCTTAGAAAATATTGATTTTTAAGGAAAAAACTGGGTAGAATGCAAGGCATAGGTTGTTAAATGGAGCCTCCTAATTTCTTAAAAAATCCAATTTGCTGCAATTCTAAAATATCATTGATTATTTGTATAAAAAGTAACTGAAATTGTACTTTCTTAAACTTTTCATATATCTATATCAGTAAATCTTTATGAAAAGATTTAATTAAACAATTGATTTTACCAAGTGATAATAAAATACATACAAATTTCGCGAAAACAAAGAGTATGTATGAAGCACTAATTTCTACAAAAAAATTCACTTATCAGGTTTCATCCAAATGATTATAAAAATAATAGCATTTTTCAGAAAAAAATAACTTCTTTTGTGAATGTTTGTATAAACTTCTTTTGGTGAATGTTTGGTTAAAACAAATATTTGTAAAATATTAAAGGTTATGTGTAATAACCCATAACATATACCTTAAAAAATGTAAGTATTAAATAAGTGGTTTAAACAATTATAATTGAATAAATAAAATTTTCTTTAGTCTTTCCAAAGCAAATAAATTTTTTTAAAAAAAAAATCTGATTAAAAATAAGAAAATACTTGCTAAATATGGTATTTGGGAATCAAATGTTAGCATTCCAATAAATTAAATTTTTATGGGAATTACAGTAAGCAACCTAATTATGTATTCAACAAAAACTAATAAATACAATCATTTCTTTTTTAAGAAATATCTCAGCAAACTTGGAAATAAAGTAACTTCTTTTAGCAATAAAACAGTTTATTTAAATATAAAAAAATGCTTACTAAGCATTAAATTTGAAACGAGTAGTTATTAAATAGGCTAAATGTAATAAACGGTAAAAGAAAGGTGTTATTTCGTTTTTATATCTCCTTTTATAGATATGAGATAAAAATTTCTTAAATTTCCTTTTATGGATCCAAAAGATCATGTTTTATTACAACATTATTATTTGGTTATTTTAACGAGTTTTGAATGGAAACATTTTCCAAACGATTGTTAAATAATCAGGTGGTATATGAAAGTGACTTATTTTAGTAGATTTAAATCTGTAAAGATACGTCTTAAGATTACATCGAAAGTCAGACAATTTTCTTTCATTATTCAGATTATGAGGGATTCTGTTGCTTTACTGTCCCGATTTTTAAGAACTTTATACGAGCCCATGAAGATCATGAGCTCCCGAAATGTTTCTTCAGGTGTATCGAACTAATTTGAACGTTTCTTGTATGTTTTAGAATATTCCTTTCAGGATCCCGATTTAGTGACCTTCGCTCTTGGAAGTGTTGTTGTTCCTAATCGCTGTTCGTCTTTCTGATCTTCATAACCCAAAAGAAGTTTATCGCACAATCTTTAAGTAGATTTCGAAACTGAATAGTCTCTGAATGTGAGCATCAGAAGAATTTATGAGCATATTTTTTTATCATGCCAATTTTTTTAAAGATTTGTAAAGCAAACGGAATTTATAAGACTTTGGGTACAAGTCATATAGAAAAGATACCAATGAAATTTATATACATGCATGCATTTTATGCTGCACTTAAAATAAAGGGTTTCTCAAAAATGAGCAAAAAGGTGTGAAAATAGCTCCAAAGCAAATAATAGTTAAATTTGAAAATCTCATGTATTGAAAATTTAAACAGCAGAGTCTCATTTATGAGCAAAATACAGGTAGAGGGAGAAATGTTTGAGAGAGATGCTCGTTTTCTGCCGACAGGATTCAAATAAAGGTCCTCTGATTTTGATATATTATGCTCTAACCACCACAGTTGTACGCTTAAGTTCAAGGTGAGTTTAGAAGCTTTCTATGGATTCCGCCGCAATGACTCATCATGATATGCCAATTTCCAATTCCAATGGTACAATGGGCTGCAATTTTTAAAATACGGTCCCAATTTCTTAGTCAGGAGATCAGCAATTTTAATTTTGCTTTATGTTTTATTTCATTCCATCTTAAAAACTTTTAAGTTAATGGAATGTATGTCATGTTGAGTTATATCGGCGCTATATAAAGCTTCCTAACTGTTTTTAACCCCTTAACGATCGGTTAATTTTCAAGAAAACGGTCATAAAAGTGCCTATTTTTGGGCTTTTGCATTTGTATTACGTATTTGATTAGTGCTGGCATCTAGTTTAAAATAAACTAACTATCTACAATTACCTTACAAATATCCTGGTACTGCCATTTGGTGCTTAAGATGAGAAATAAAATGTTTTCCGGGCAAAAGATTTATTCTTATTTTACGCGTTACTACTGAATATTGCTGTGAGTGGATGTTTTTTTTTCCTTCATGCATTTTTCTTTTGTTGATCCCAATTTATAAATCGCAAACCAAGATGATATAAGAATATGCCTTTAATTTTATCGTACTAGAATACGCCTTTATTTTAACGTAATAGCGTAAAAAATTTAAAAAAAAGCACCAAAAAATTAAACATAGTGCAAGTTAAGTGCAATTAAATATACATTTAAGCTCTGAAAAAGGGTTTTAATATTCATTATTTTTATCTTATATAATTAAACCATTATATTGAAAATACGCAGCAATTTTTTTTCAGAGAATATTTTCTTCTTATTTTTAAAATGGTATGTTTAATTTTGCTTCTAAATTATTATAACAGGGCAATCAGATATAAGAATTTATTTTTGTAATGAATGGTAAAGACAAAATGATCGTGAAAAAATAGTTCAATAATAAGGTGGGCGGAAAGTATTAAAATGTTTGCCTCTTGGAACTTTTAATATTTAAAAAAAAATATTTTCTATTTTTCCCGATCTTTGCTTTCAAAATAACACTTTGATTTCGAGCAACAGATATTTCTATAGACGACAATAAAATTTTAATGTTTACTAAGAAAGAGCTTAAAATAACAAAGCAATGGTCAGTTAAAATTACATAGAAAACTTGCTAAGTGATACATTTCAATTGTTGTGAGAAAAAATGTCTACTTGTGGTCATGTTTAAAATGCTATTTAAAAATTTCTCTTCTGAGTTGTAAATGTTTTAAGAAAGCGCTGCCATTTGGGATTAATATTTTTCTAGTAAGTTCATGTTTAAAAGGATACTATATAAGCTGATACTAAATTCTAACTATTTCTAAAACTTGCTAAAAAAATATAAGCCTTTATTTCTAGTACAAAAATAAAAAAGTAATAATAAAATATTTACATCTATAATAATAAAATGCAGAGTATGACTCTGTGCGTCTCTCTTATAATTTCAGAAAAGTTTGCACTATCGTCCTAGAATTTAGACGGGAAATTTCAAAATTACGGTTCTTCAAAATTTATTTAGTCAATTCATGATGGACATTTGAAAAATGAAATTTTCTTATTGGTTTAACATCAGACGTTGTTATTAATTGAACTTATACGTATGTTTTCATTAGATATTGAAGTGTTGTTTTATCACTTTAATTCAAGAGAGACTTATTCAGAAGGTTAGCAAATATTTATTTACCATATATTAAGTACCAACAAGTTTAAATGCATCATCCGTAAAATCCATTTTTACCGTAAATTTTAAAGGAATATTCATTTCTTTAGAGAGATTGTGTGATTTTGCGGTAATAATTGTTGTAAAAATTACGGTACATCAGATTTTTTGATCCTTAACATGCTCCGGTAAAAATGATTTTCACTGTGTAAAAGACCGGCACACTGAATGCTGGGACATTTTACCTTAATTTCATCCAAAATCTTTTACAGTGTTAACCTGAGGCAGTTTCAAATACAATCAATGAAGATGTGATTCAAGCAACTTTAGATGAATTCGTCGCAGTTTTTATTAAAATGTGAGTAAGAAACAGTTTTGGAGAATCAGGGCTTCTATTTAAAATATTTTTAGCTGAAAAAAAAAATGGTTTGCATTTGAAAATGAAAGGCAGATAGGTAAAGTACATGATTTTTCGTCAATAAACTATGAGTGTTCAAAACAAAGTTTAAGTACTGTCTCATTAAAATTTGATTTCAGAACTACAGTTCTCTCAAAATTTCTATTCTGTGATGCACCATTCAGTGTTTCTGATGATATCTGTTTTGATAGTTAAAATATAGCTAATATTTTAAAAAATATATAACCTTCCAAAATATAAACTTTTCTTCCCTAAAAGTATTATTTATATTTAGATTTGAATTACCCTTTATATATATTTACAGCTGAAAACTTATTTGATCATTGAATATAATAATGAATATAATCAATGAATTATTAAATACAGAAACATGAATAGTGGTTTTATTATCGCTTCCCTTCAGAAACATGTAGCTCTAATTTATGCTCAACTACTTATATATTCAAAGGAAAATAGTAGTAAATTTAATGATTTTACTTTTTATGAACTTGGCTTTCATCCATTTTACAAATAAAAATAAATTGTTTCAATATTTCTGGAGAAGGTGTATTAATTAAAAACATCCCGCAAATTAAATGTTTAATTTAGTTACGAAATTGTAAATCTCATCGTTATTTCCTCTTAACCATATAGGGTAAAAAGAGAAAAAAGAATGGTAGAATTTGGTACTTTCATCAAGATACCTAAGAGCGTGACATAAGAAACCATTTATTCGGTTAAATGTACTTTTCAGTTTTGTATTGTTTACTAATTGTGTGGTAATGAGAACTATAATTTTGAAAACCAGAAGTTTGAGTAAACCATTTCCATATAAACTGAAAAATCAGCAAATGAATGATTTATATTCCTTATATTTTTGGTTATATTAATCAGAATTAAGTATTTTTTTCCAGAAATTTTATAATCATATAGTACAGTAATTTTACTAAAATTTCTTTCTCTGCGTTTTTAAGCAAATCACACATCTTATTTGTAATTAAATTTGTTTAAATAATTTTGTTGTTTTACATGGCCTATATGTTCTTTTTAAAATATCGCTCAAGAATGGATTTTAAAATATTGCATTAATATGCATTTTTTCAAATTTTGCTGAGTTTCCTGTTTCCGATGATATATAAACGAAGTATTTGATACAACCCCATATAAAGAGATCACTTGGTGTATAGTCGAATAATTTGGTGACTATCTGATTAATGATCACATGACAAGCTTGAACGCAGGACAATGTTTATGAGGAATAAATGTCAAAAATTACTAAAATAATTGAAAATGAAGAACTGTGAAATGTGTGGTGAAACTTAATTGCGTAAAAGTTGCTTGAAAGACACAAACGAGACAAACATCAAAAGTTATAAAAAAGAACTTTCGTTTCTTAATATTTTTGAATCGCTTATTGTAATTTTTGTCATAGCTTCGGATAAATAAATAATGAAAATATGATGGTTTGTGCTTATCATGTGCATTAAGAAGCAGGCAAAATTATTTGAAAATCCATTCTCCAAATTATATCATACAATGTGAGATAATCCTTAATGTAAATATATTTTTTTTGTATTCAATGTAAATTATTATTTTTTTACTTTAAGCTACAGATAAAGATTCCGGATCTTCAAAAGAAAAGTACATTCTGTAATAAAACATTTTAGCAATACAAGGAAAACAAAAAAAAATTTTTTAATTATTTTTTTATTGTGAAACACTAGTATATTTTTTTAAAAAAAGTTATCAATAATAATTCTTGAGGCTTGTTTATTAATCCTTCTTAGAATCAGCTTTCTGTTACCGATGATCTACAATAAATATAATGAACAGAATAAATATTATAAATGGAATAAATATTTTTAATACATACACACATGCAGATAATTTAATATGAGGGGGATTAATTATTATCGGCCATATCAACCTTCATCTATCAAAAGGTACCTCAAGATAGAATCAAGTTAACATGTCTTATATACTAGTGAATTGGTATTCAATATTTATAGTGGTAGTTACGCCACAAATATTGCACAATAATATTGAAAACATTAATGCCTATTAGTGTACAAGACGAATATATATTTCATTAATTTTATTACTGATTTGTCATATCAACGTATATTTTCTTCTTTTTTCTATGCTGAAGAATATTAGAAAGTAGTACAGGATTAATGGATAACACTTGTTGTGAAGATGAATAAGGTAATTTTTATACTAAACTACTGCTAATGTTTATCATGAATATAAATTATATCGATAAAACTGGTTATAAGCAGTAGACAAATTTTTTCAATGCAAGCGATTTGAAAAATTAGCTAGAAAAGTTCACCACCGATTTTACACTATAGTATTCAATTGCTTAGATATTTGTTTAAAGTGAGTTTAATATTTAATATTTATATAAAGTGAGTTTAATAGCATCTTTTAAATTAGAATTTTAAATTAGTGAAGCAGATATTTCATTATGTTTAAAATATATCGACATGTGCTTTTCAGATAAATAGCTTTTTTGTATGAAGTCAAAACTGTGACAAAACCATGTGTGTATAAAAGGTTGTAAGCTGCATGCAAAATTAAAATCTCAGAAAAGTTACGTACAGTCCTCTTATAAATACTGGGCACATGCAACCAATACAAAGAAGCATTTTCAAGGTATTAAATTTGACTTTTGTTTTTAAATTTGATCCGTTGACTTAATTGTTTAAGTTATACATATATTAGATTCATAATTGTTTGTTTTTCTTGGATTTTAAATTCCTATATGTATCTCAATAAATAAACTTAGCTGTATTAATTCAATTCTATACCAAAATTTTAGTAGAAAAACGCAATTCATATCATCATTATTGTATGTACTGAATTTTACCCAGCAAGATTGAATAAATTTGGTTACCAGTATGCTTCCAAAAATTTGTTAATTTTTTCCTAGACAATCGTGATTTTCTTTTACATTAAGTAATATTTATATTTCGAACCAAATGGTTCATTTATAGTTTAAATAAAGATTGAACAATTTTGTATATGAAGCTACTTAAGTATTTATTAATAAAAAGAAAATCGAAAATGAAACGAAAAAACTCCTTATATTGTAATGAATATATAAAAATGAATTGTAGTATATATTACGTAAACAGTGTTTGGAACTGTTTTATTCAATCCCATTGAAACTTTTTAATGCTGTCCATTCATATTTTAAAAATAAATTTGAACACCAATAATTATCTAATACAGACGTCACAAAAAAAAATTGAAATAATTTCGTAGCAAAATAGCAATTTTTTCTTTCAGATTCAGGTAACTAAAATAAAGTACATAATTACTTTTCTTTGGATCCACCAGCTCCACCCAAACCACCCAAGAAACCTAACACTGCAATAAAAAAATAATAAAATTAATAAATGAGTAGAAAGATTTTTTTTATGAGTATAAACTCCGTATAAAAAATAAAAGCCTATTTCCAGTATAACTGGGCAGTTCAAGTTGCACTTCAAAATTCTAGAACAGTTGTATTTAACTTATATGTAATCATTATATATTAAAATCTTTGTATATTATTATATTTGTATGTAATCATTAAAATTGCAGAATAATGAAAAGAGAAGAAAAAAATTATTAAAATAAAATATGATAATAAAATATGATATAAAATATGATATAAAATATGATATAATCGTGTGAGCTGATGTAGAGATTATATTTTCTTACTGGATTTTTATTAAAGTTTTTTTAATATTTTTTTTAATTCTGCTTTTTTTATTATGTTACTTGATTTGAATAAATTTCTTCTTCTTTTAAATTTTTTTTTGTTAATCTCTCTGATCTTTTATTCTTTTTTGTCATTTTTATTGTGTAATGTATATATATTTGCCGCGCTTAACTTTTGCACTAGGTCGGAAAATTAATGAAATAACTTACGGTCATTGGCTGCGTCTGTAACAAACAGTACGGAAATGTAAAAACAAATATAAGGGCAAAATGGAAACAGATAATTTTGATAGATACAATATGGATACATAAAATATGATATATATATATNAAAAAGTTTGTTTGTTGCATTATTTGAATTAAATATTTAAATATATACGGCAAAATATTCTTAATGAAATGATTTTATTTATGCCTTTTTTTTATCTTAAATTCAAATACAAAAAATTATTATAAAAAAAGGTCTTAATTATTTTACAAATCTAAAATTAAATACAGAAAGAATTTAAAAAGTAAATTATTTAAAAATAAGTATTTAAAAATCTTACTTCCAATGCCTTCAGCAGCTGTGAAAAATTCAGATCGTCAATAAATCATTAAAAAGTACTGAAATAACTTTAAAACAAATATTTGCTATAGTTGATATTGGCATTAACATTAATTAGAATTATTTAAATATTATGAAATGAACTGTGCAAAATAGTTAAAATAAAATCAGCTATTAGGTTGCTTATTAGAAGTAAAGGAGTGGGTTTGAAAAACTACTATCCTTTAAAGAAGATTAATATTAATATGAGGTTAATGTAAGGAAATATAATAATAAAAGGTAATATAAGGGTAAGGCTAATCTACGGTAATAAGGATAAATTATTTGACTGTAAGAAAAGTTTTTACAATGAGTCCTGAAAGCGGTAACTTGTTTTCTCGTTAATGCCATTGAACTTAAAATCATGAAAAAATGAAAATATGCCCCAAGTAAGCTAAAACTTCTGTATCAAGTTAGTAAATATGTAATACATTTGTTGCATCTAATACATTTTACATATAATATACAATTTGATACCTGATATACAATAGTACGTTTTCAAGAGGACCGGTACTCTCATTGTATTTTCAAACGAAAATTAATACTCTTACTATTTTTAAAAGCAAATTCATCAAGTTTTCAAGTTGATATATTGAATTGTATATGAAATAATTAATTAACATCCTTATATAATGGAGAACTAATAATATGTTTTTTTTAATTTATTTGTAATAATTATTAGTAATAGTATGTGCATTTTAAAACACAATGATACACATTTAGGAAAAAGAAGATAAGGTAATTAAATATTTATTTCCTCTGGCAAAGTTCTGACAATTATTATGCCAATTATTAGATAATTATTGCCAATTTGTATCTAATGAGTAATTTTCGATAATATTTTGTCAAAACAATGATTCCTCTGTTTAGATATATGTTCTTTACTAGCAAATATGCTCACAAATTGATTTATATACAGAGAATTATCATTTTATGAGAATGCAGAGAGTGGATCAATCCACTAGGCACCTGTTTTTTTTTATAAATTACATATGTTTTTTTTTACTAACAAATATGCTCACAAATTGATTTATATACAGAGAATTATCATTTTATGAGAATGCAGAGAGTGGATCAATCGACTAGACACCTGTTTTTTTTATAAATTACATGTTTCAAAGAAGAACATGGTGAAAAATAAATTACATTTTCTTAAAAGATGTTTTTTAAAAGAATATTCTGTTGCAGTAGACAAAAATTTGTTTTTAAATCAGATTATATGTGCAATATGAAAACGTCACTTGCTAATCAATTTTATCATAAAGTTTCTTACCTTGGCTTAGAAGATCTATGTAAAAAAATAGCTCTTTATTATGCTAGAATTCACACACACACACACACATATATATATATATATACAATATATATATATATCGATATAAAGTACGAATACGGCGTTAAAGTACATTCATACATCAAGTTTTTAAGATTTGAATTCTAGCATTTAAAAAATAATCAAGAAATCATTTTAAAAAATGTATTAAATCATTTATTCATGCACTTTTGTATCCCAGGATGTTAAAACTTACTGCTTCTGTAAAGAAATAAACTGAAAAAGCAATAATCGTGCCTATAGTAAATACGAACTTAGAAAAATGTAGAACACAAATGAAATTATTTAATTCCGTTCAAATAAATTAAAAGCATTTTAATGTGCGAGAAATAGCCATAGTGCTTCTTTTTGCATCAAATAATTTATTGTCCTTCAGATAAAGTATGATGCATACAAATTTTATTTCGATATGAAGTACAAATATGGCGATAAAGTACATTCATNGTGAACCTGGTCTGCAACTATGTTCAAGTAGCTTGCAGACGTCATGGATTGTTCTATGAGGATTATAGGCTCTAATGTGCACCATGAAAACATTATTCCTGGGTGAAAAACCATGAAAACCTGGGCGAGCCCATTGTCATAGATGGAGGGTGGTCATAATATAATGGCTCTTCGGTATATAAATATATATAAAGAGAGAGAGAGAGAGACTTTTTTTTCAATCTTTATAAAAAATATTTTTTTAACTTAAATATGTGAAAGTGTATAATGCATCTAATTTTTGATTTCAAATTTTTCTTAAAAAATAATTTCAACAATTCATATACATTTTAAGTATTTATGAAATTTTATTTTATTTACCGCTAATATTTCTCTCAAACATATACTTGTGCAAAATAATCTATTTATTTGGAAAATAAATTAAATGCTACGCACCTTCACCCATATTTCCAACTAAAAAGGAAAGAAACTTTTCATAAATATGGTTAACAAAATTTGTCATGAGTGAAAAATATACGTATCTTAAAATTGCAATATATATATATTATATATTCATGATATTTCAATAGATTCATTTATAAGTAATTCAAATAACTAGAAATATTCAAAAAATTACGTCTTTTGGATATTATTTTGATGTAATGTTTGTTATTACCTAGAAAGAATTATTTGTAAACGAATGCAATAAGTCAACGGTATAAAAAATATGTACTAATGTCTGGGGAAAAGGATTGCCTTTTTATCTTCCCCACTCTAATGATTAATTTTTTTTTATAATCATATATAACTGTGGAGTTAAAATGGAAATAACATTTAAGTTTATTTGAAATTAATTAAAAAACAATTCCTTAAAAATTTGTTTTAAGTTCGTTTCAATATACGCTAAAAATGTTTTATTCATAACAAGTTCGAAAACTATTAAAGACAATTTCGTTCTGAACATTTACATTTTATCACGAGTTTATATAGACAAATTTTATTGTTGGAGTTCCTAGAAATGACGTGGATCATGAGTGAGTAATAAAAATCAGAGATCATATGGTTATTTGCTACCTTCTTAAATATTACAAGATAAATATTAATTTTTGTTTAACAAAATTCACACTGTTCAGTTTCTGCATTAAGTCTATAGAAGCGAATAAATGTTTTCTTTGTCTCAATAGTTTGAAAAATATATATGAAGGAAAGGAAATTTGTTATACTCTGAGACCAATTAAGCAGGTAAGCAACTATGGAAATTTGTATGTAGCTTCCTCCTAAATGTTACGTGAAAAGAGAAAATACATTTAGCAGACTGCTGAGCAGTATTTGATAAATACACTGCTGGGTACCTTAAATGCAACACCCTGAAGCAAGCATGCAAATAATGTGAAATTTACAGCATGCATTAGCGGAGGTGAGATATGCAAATGATTAGAATTTCAGCGCATGAGCACATTATGAGCGGCTGTGACGCATTTTCAAAGCGTTATTTAAGGCATGGAGATTTCGACGATTTCAAGTTCAGAACACAAAACGATCAATTATGCCTTGTAGAAAGCAGCGATCATCTTTTGATCAAGTAAATGAGTTCGACAAAGGAAGGACCGTTGCCCATCGAGTTGAGGATTATCTTTCAAAGAAATCATCAATCGTGTTGGACGAAACCAAACAACTATAATGCGGATATGTGATCGTTGGATGCAGGAGGGTATGACGGACTGACGTGTTCGATTACATCCACCTCAGTGCACCACATCACAAGATGAGAGGCGAATTGTGAGCATGGTAGCGACTGATCGCTCAGTCACATCACAAACCATAACACAGCACATTCAGTCTGTAACGCATCATCCATTCGACGCCGTTTACAGCAGAGTGGTCTTCCGCAAGACGTCCATTTCTTCTTCTACCCTTGACGGAGAACCATAGACGACTCCGCCGTCAATGGTGAGATGAAAGAAGGATGTGGACGACAGAATGGAATAAAATTGTCTTTACTGACGAGTCACGTTTCTGTCTGCAACACCACAATGGTCGCATTCGAGTCTGGAGACACCGTGGAGAGAGGATGCTGAACAGCTGCGATATGCACCGCCACACTGGTATGGGCGGGTATATATATATATATANTCTTAGCTTTAAGCAAAAAATTACTGAGTATCAAATTGAAGACCACACTTACCTCCACCAAGAAGTTCTAAAGAATAAATATAATAAAAATGCAGCAATTTTCAAATTATAACTTAAAATTATTATTCATTAGAAGAGGAACCAAATATGAAATGGAATTTATTTGAATATTATAACATGGTTTACCTTTTCCTATTGTCCCCACTGTTCATCATAAAATTTGTAAAAAAAAAAAAAAAAAAGTAAAAAAAGANTATACTTTCTAAATGAAAAACAAGTATGTCACATATTTGTTAAAAATATACAATTTAACAACAATCATTAAAAGAAGTCTTTATTATAATAATGTCGAAGATAGCATTTTTAAAATATTTCCTACCTCCTCCAGCAATATCTGCCAAAATAAGTGGTGTTATGAATGTAAAATTTAAGGAAGTTCAGATTTAAACTGTTCCTGTTAGAGAAACCACATTTTCTTAACCAGTTAAACCAAACACATTTAAAAATAAAACCTTTTCATAGCCCAATTTCATAGTAAAACCCTTTCTGAAACATTTACTTTACTTACTATTAATTAACAGAATATGAGTGTAACAATTAAATGAAGCATGTAACATTAACAGATTTATTATTTTTAATAGGCATTGTTAAACTAAAATTAACTTTTAAATATAAAATGATTTTTTTCCTTCCGAATGTAAAGCTTTTTACTTATACTGATTTTTTTCGTTTTCTTCGTGATTGCTAATAATCGCTGACCAAGTACAAAAGTCTTGATTAATTTTTGTTAGAAATAAAGAATGTGATATTGTTTTCGATTAATAGGCTTATATTTTTAACCTATCATAGTGAGGAGTAATTTAATATACACTGAGAAAAAGGTAATTATTAGTCTACCAAACTACCAGAATATGATACAATTTACCGGGTTTTGTTGGCTCTATAGGAAAGCCAAAATGCTTGGTAATTTTTACCGAAGCGCATTATTAATAATTATCGTAAAATTAACAAGGATATATAGTTTTATGATATGTGATAAAATTTCGATAATGTGATTAAATTTGGCAAAATTTACTTTTCAGTTTTACATTTTTGAATAAATGTGTAGTAATAAGAGCGATAATTTTGAGGGCCAAGATTTCCGGGAAACAGTTACCATTTGTACCGAAAAATTACAAATAAATACTTTTTTTTACATATTTGTTGTAAATCTGAAAGTATCCATCTTTGTAAAATTTTTATTTAACTTTTTCTCCAAGTTGAACGAATTTTGATGTTAATAATTTATTATAACAATTAATAATTATTCATGAATTCATGATATCAATTGCATTTGTAAAAATATAAAATAAAATATTGTAAATAAAAGAAATTACTTATGTAGCTGATAAACATATTTTATAAGTTAGAAATAATGATCAGTGAAATACAAAACCAATTATAATACAAGAAATTAAAATAATTATTTTACTCCATTTCTTTTGCATTGTTTTCTTCCAAAAATTATCATACAATAATTTATTATAGATATTTATCTTAACTTTGAGATATATTTTTTATCATATGAACAAACATTAAAAATCGTATAGAAATAACATTACATTTACAGTTAAATATGATATTAAATAATTTGGTCAAGGAGGAAATGTTTCAACTGGTAATGAAAGACAATTGGCTAATGAGTGATTTTTTGGAAACATGAAAATTCGGAAAAATAATTTTCTTCAAATTTAAAGTCCTCAAAATAATCGAATTTTTTTTTGTACATTTCTTTAGTCACATTTATTAATATCTTACAGATAGCAGTGCAGTTTATTTAAGAAGAGAAATAATATCGAAATTCACAAAATTTTGAATGCCATAACATATAAATGACCAGGAAAATGACATAGGAAATAGCCAGGAAATGACTTAGAAGTTAAGAAAACTGTCATTTTAAGCTAATAGTAAGTAGCTCAACTTAAGAAACTCCAAAAAGACAAAATTGAAGAGTTAATTTTAACTTTTTTATGTAAATAAATTCCAAAAATAATTGCTGTGATCAATTTTAAACAATTTAGTTAAGCATAATGAAAGTGCGAGAATAACTCACACTATGAGATAGATTTTAATTTTGTTACACTTTAACCCCTTCTTTCTCGCTCCCGTATAAATGACGGGGTGAATTTTCGCCCGCTATTTCTCGCTCCCGTGATATTGACGGGCTGGAGTGTTCAGTAGTAACGCGCCAATAAGAATAAAACAATTCATTTCTTTTGCCCGAAAAATATTTTATTTCTCATTTTACACACTTGATGACAATGCCAGAATATTTTTAAGGTAATTGTAGATAGTTAGTTCATTTTAAGCTAGTTACAGCACTAATCAAATACGTAATGCAAATACAGAAGCCAAAAAAATAGGCACTTTTATGACTGTTTTCTTGAAATTTAACCGATCGTTAAGGGGTTAATTTGTAAAAAAGCAGTTAAAACAAAAAAAAATTTGCAAAATTTCATTAATCTTGAAGCCTTCAGAGGAAGTAAAATGCCTGGAAGATATGGGGTAAGGAACAGACATTTTTGAATTTGTCATATTCTAAGAAATTTTGACACAGTCTTATTTCCCCGGCCACTTAAAGTGATTAGCAATCTGCTTACCAGCACGAATAATAAAGTTAACTTTAATATCTTTATGAAGGACTTCAAAAACATCTCCTACATTGAAAATGATAATCTCTGGAATTTTTTAATTAATTTTATAAAAATTTACATTAAATTAATTTTACAATAATTTACATCGGAAACTTTTTTTATTTATATTTAAATTCAAAATATTTCAAATAATTTTATTTTGCAACTTTATTACATTCCTTAATTTATGCACCTAAGCTGCGTTTAAGGACTATGACAGAATTTAATTGTACAGTAATGTTCTTAGTTTATCCTTTATATTTTTAACTATCTGTGCTTTGAAAAAAAAATAACTTAACGCTTTTGAGTTAGATAGACCATGATTTTTTAAAATTAATTATTTTATCCATTGTGGAAAGAATCAAAATTGTTCTTGTTGATATGGGCATAATAAAAATGGGTATAATAATCAATCATTAAGTAAATAAATAATTTTAATTACATACTAGCATATTACAATCTTTCATAAACTGGGTAATAGGCTAATATTTGCTTTCCCTTTTTACATTATAATGTTTAAAAAGTTTTCTTATAACTGTGTTAATTTCCTGGAATTCATAAGCCAGGAAATTGACATCCAGGATAATGACAATTTTGTCTTTTTGCAGCATTTAACATTATTTTAATTTAATATTTCAGACTAAGATGTTTACTTTCAGCATAAAACATCAGGATTTCTTGAAATAACTAAGTTAAATGTAAATAGTTTATGTTATTAATTATTTCAAGACGACAGAAAAATGGCAGCATAAAAACCTATTCACAATGTAAAATTTTTTGAAGTACATTTTGACTCAGAAAGTTGGTTTTTAATTCCTGCTATTAGGTATATTCAGATAGGATGATATTCTAATCACTCTCATAACCTAAGAAATTGATTTCTGGAGCTATCTATTTTGGTTATAAATTACTAAAAAAAGTGGCCAGTAAAATGACTGATTTTCATGTGATAAACAAATTACTGATAAAAAAAATTATTTTCAACAAAATCTTTGGAAATAATAATCTCTGCTTATATTCTAGAAGTGCTTGCAACGATTGAGATAAAAAAATATTAGATATTGAAAAAAGTATGGGAAGTTTTGAAGCTAGTTATTATTGTAAATATTGTTTGAGACATCCCTGGAAAATGACATTTTGATATTCAATTAAATTTTTAACTATACGAAACAGCCAATGCTAGTGCAAATTCATTTTAAAATGCTAACAGCTACGCTATTTATCGATTTTTTAAAAAGGTTCTTTTAGTAGTGTAGTATTAGATCTTGGAGCAAGAGACTGTGAATTGTCATATTTCGTGAGAATCACCTTAATATGCAAAATAATACTTAATTTCCATTTTTAATTTTATATATTAACAATATTATATAAATGGAATGTAAATTTTACTTACCCCCTGTAATTAGTTTAAAAAAATGGAGTTTAACATTTATTGTAATCAGAAAATGGTATCACTTATGATGTTTAACATTTTTACCCTTTAGGCGTTTGGAACATAAAAATACTTAATTTCCTTTACATTTGTTTTGTTTAATGTAATAAAATAAATATACTTTCTAAATGAAATAAAATAAATATACTCAATATAATAAATTATTGAGATCATGCAGTAATTATTACAGCTCATTTTTAAGCTTTATACAGCAAAATTTATTTAATTTATGTTAGTTTAAATATTGTTATATTAATAAATTAAAGTTAATTTAACACTTCAGCGTAAATTTTTTTTCAAAATATTCGAATAGCTGTACACGTTCATTATGCCTCTTACTACCTCTAATTTTCCATTCCTGATGCAGCCATGCACCCCCAAACAAAAATTGATTCACCACCGTATTTCACTGTTCTATTCGTATTCTTAGGTTCGAGCTCTTGGCCTTCCTCCAAACTTTTTGTTTTCAATGGATGATAAATTTGCTTTACTTTTATCAAAAACTATTACTGAATTGAAGAAATTTTGAACTTCCCTTAGAAACCGCTTTTCAAACTCTCCTTTTATGATAGACTTAACTAACGTGTGCTTTTTTTCGTATATTCCATCCGCGGAAACCTGCTCTTCGTAATACACGCCGAATTGTTTCAGGATCAAACGACTTCTCCATAGTAATTTCTACGCCAGTTTCAAATTTTAGGATTTCATTTTACTTTTCTCACAATAACCCGACTTTCCCGGACAGTTAAGATACATGATCACCTAGACCTTTTTTTTTATTTCGAGTATTGCCTCACGTTTGAAACTTTGAAATGGTTTTTTGCACCGTTGGCCGACTTTGGCCAATTATTTTAGCAATATCTCTTTGACACTTTTTCTCTAATTCTATAATTTTATAATTACGTCTTTTAAATCTTGTGAGAGTTCCTTTCGCCGAGGAGCCATCAATAATAATTATTTACACTTCACATAACTATTTATAATAATGTCAATATAATTCAAGAAACCGCATAAAAGCTTTTTTACCTATCCAAAATTTTTGGAGTGGATACATATTTTTGTGACATATATTTTGACTGACTGGTATAGAACGAAATAAGTTTTACAAACAATAGAGAATGTAGTTTTTAGTAATATTTAGTTTAATTTATTTTTGAAAAAATACTCCTAACCAGACACTTTCGTGCCAAACTTGCATTTGTTTTTATCCTAAAAAGCGAACTTTTCATATTGAGATATAAAGTAGGTATTTAAATTTATGAATATACATAATTTTTTGAGCTCGTTAATACAACAAGTTTAATATATATAAATTCTCAAGTTTAAAAAAAAAGTTTAATATATATAAATCAATTCCATCGTATTTCCTGTGACTTTTTATACTCACCCTGCTGTGTAAAGTTTTTAATTCTTAAAATTCTTATGGTATTACAGAGTAGAACAAAGTGTAACGTTAAGTTAAAAACCCAAAAGGGCGTTAGCGGTTCTTCCTTTCTTTTCTTTTTTTTTGGCATTAAGAGATACCTGATTAATTTTAATGCTTTAAAAATCTCACAACGGAATAAGTATTTAATTTCTTTTTTTTTTTGCATACAGTATTTCAATAAAGATATTTATCAATGATGCTTGAAAAACTGCATTATGTATTATTTTATTGGAAAAAAGTTTAGAATATTTCTAATTAATTTCAGTGAGTTCAAAATGGTTTTTGAACTTATTAATTATATTCATTTAAAAATTTTCAATACTCACCAGTTTTCACTAAATATAAAATACGGTTAATTATTTCAACAATAACTTCAGTCTCATTTCAACAGTAAAATTCTGTCTCATTTCTTACTTTACTAAAATTTAAAAACATAGTTGACTTTTTTAAGCATTATCTGTCACTATACTAAACTGAAATTGAATATTTATAATTTTTTTATTTTTCCAAAAAATTGTTTTAGAATATTTTTTTAATACTAGAAGCATTTTTTCTATATAACACAAAAAACTCAAAGGAATATAAATTGAAAAAAATCTTTGTTTTCAAAATATACATGATGAAAAATTTAAAGAAAAGTATGAAAAGTAGTATAAAATTAATAATTTTAATTAATAAATTTTTTTATGCTCTAAGACTAACATTCTTGTTTGAAATACAACTAAGAAGCTCAAATGATATTTAAATTTATATCCTAAGGGTATTTAAAAAATGAGGTACTCTTTTAAAAGTAAAATACTCTTTAATTATTTTCATTTTATAATGATTACTGTTCTGAATAAAAGCTCGATTCTGTAAGCTTGAATAAAAAATCACTTACACATATCAACAGCAGCTGTAATGAAACATATAAATTGTCATGCATTTTACTGTTAAATGATTCACTACTTCTTAGAATTCCGGATTTAATTTAGAAATGTAGGAATTTAATGATTTGTCCTTCCTTTATTAATTCTATTTAAAAGGTCAGCAATTTTTTGCTTTATTTTTATTTTTTTCGCAAAAAATATTTATTGCTTTGAAACCAGGAATATGTAGAGGGTTAAATAAGCAATAATTTTGTATAAATATGCTAAATTATATACAGAGATGAAATAAAATGCTAATACTTCTTGAAACGATTTTGAGAGTAATATGCAATCATTCTTTTTTTTAATATATTTTTGGAAAAAAATGGGCATAAGTGTTTTGCTTTCGTTTTTCGAAGCAAATTATTATAGTTTGCAAAATATTGATTTAAACTGAGCTAATGATACAGGAAGGCGTATGAATGTAATTTGAAATAAAAAAGCATTGTTTTTTGTAATGATGAAATAAGAATGAACAAATGACCTTTATTTTGGAAACTAATTAGCCTCTTTGACAATGAATTTGATGCTTAAACTTTAGATTTTGCTCCATAAACTTCGATAAACTCCATCACCATTTCGAAGATACTTGTTAGCAATATAAGGGACATATGTAGTTTATACTTCAAAATATCGGAAAAGCAACTTAAATATTTTTGTCATTGTGATTTTGTTACAATGCAGGGGCCTTTAAAGACTTGTTCTCCACTTCTGGAGATCTTTGGGATGTAGTTGCTCCAAATTAAATTATAATACACGTTATTATTTATTTAAAAAATTTGTTATCTAAACTAAAAAAATCGAGGGTAAATTTAATTTTTCAGGAAAGTTTTGATCAGGAGAGCCGGTTGTTAAAGGCCACAAGATTTTAAAATCACGATCCGGTTTTTATATTTTTCAAATTTATATTACTTGTAACGAACACCGTTTAAAAATATTTCTTCTTTTTATTTGAATAAAACTTGGAAAGTAAGAAATCCTAGTTAACATAATTTTATCCAAATTAAGGAATAGTTGAAGTGTTATAATTATAGTTATAATTTCTTGAACCGTTGGCCAACTTCAAAGTTATCATTTTTTCAGTTTGAAAAACAAATATAGGAGTTATAAATATAAAATATAACCTGAATCGGGCTCTCCAACATATGATTCATATACATTTTGAAACAAAATATGTCACAGCTTTATACATTTAGTTTGTATTTTTTAAAGTATTGTTTTATTTATTATTTTAAAAAGATAATAACAGGAAAACATAATAAAAAGAAAAATAATATAATTAGTTTCGTTACGTAGCTTAATCTATGAAGGAATTCTTACTCAATTTTGTCTTTGAATAAACAAGTTCATAAAGATTTATAATAAATAAAATATTAGCAAATAAGGTACTGAAAAGCGCTAAATTCTATTTACCATTAGCAATGTTTCCAACTGTAAGAAATATAATTAAATGTAGTATGAATAGCAGTTTATTAATTATAATTGCATTAATTTACATCTATTTTAATTAATTTACTTCTTCAATCAAAGAAATTATATCTATAAGAATATGAAAATAAAATGTAAAAATGTCTTCTGTATTAAATTATTCATATATTTATAACAGTTTGGTAAGGCTTAAACCAGCAAAAAAAAAAAACAATTGCTCTATACCGTTAATTATGGATTACGATTAAAATATTGCCACTATTATTGATATAAATTCTTAAATTAATATACCCTAGAGTTAGATGCAAAAAGACTTATTATACTTGACGATATAAACCACATTTGCACAAAAAAAAATTAAGATGGTAAGGAAAGTCGCAGATTTTGAGAGCTCAATAATTGTCAATAATTGACGCCCGTTCTCAAATCTCACCAGATGTGAATATAGAAAACAAAAATCATTTGAAAAGAAAGATAAATAAAAATAAATAAGTGAATAATAATAATAAGCGAAAAAACAATAAGTAAATGATAAAAAAATGAGAAAAAAACAATAACTTGCTAGCGAAAAATTTATAATTAAGGTAAAGAACAAAACTATAAAACAAAACTATATAAACAGTGACACATGAAATGAAAAATAAATTAGTTCAAAAGCAAAACAGGGAAAACCGCAGTTGCCGGGGTAAGCAAAGTTTGGTAAAATAATTTTTCAGTTGCCTCTATGTGCATTTACCTCATTTGTCTACTATTTCATTTTCAGCTAATACAGATTTTCTTGTTTTTATTTTCACCTTTATATTTATTTTATATTGGCAACTGTGATGTAATCATCAAATTGTTTGTTATTCCAATTACCTACTGGGCTGTCTCCAACTGAAGCTCCCTCTTTATGGTCTTTTGCCTTTGCGAAATCTCTAGGGCTCGGCTCCTAGCCCTTTGACCTTCGAGATTCACGCAACCACCAAAGAGGGGACACTATCTTTTGAAGATAGCAGTAATCTCCAGAACACTCAAAGCCAAACAATTTTTTTTGTCGAATATCTAAGCTTGTATATTATTTTAAAGATTTCAAAAGGCTTAAATAAAAAAAATAAGGAAATTACTTACGTCCACAAGCAGCATCTGGAAAGTGAATTTATGAAAAACAAGTTAATTGCAAATAAATATAGTAAAAATAAAAGTATTAAAAAACATTCTCTGACGTTTTTTTCCACTTTACTTTCAAATTGTACAAATTCTATTAATTACTTATTACAAAATTTAAAATAATAATTTTGCATCAAAAATATGTTTTTGGTTTGTGTAAATATTATGTATTTGGGATTACAAAGCATCCAAATATTGCATGAAAAATTATTTTTTCATTAACGTTAAAAAAAAATTTGCAATATTAAGTAATTTAAAGGGAGAAAAAAAGTAGCTTTTCTGCAGTGAGGAAGATAATCAAACATCACATTATTGACATCCATGTGACCTAAGTAATACATTATTAAAAACTAAATAGTCTATGGACACTTATTTGATATTTTTTTCTATTTTAAAGGTGTGTTCATCTCTGTTATGCCTTTTATTGTCTATTCTGTGGATTTTGCTTACCATATACTTTTGGGCAATAGCTTTCATTCGATAAAAGTCGAAACATTTTTAATTTTTCTGTACTAACTTTTTTTTAAATTTTTTTTTATTTATACATTAGTAGTAGCTATTAACGCTGTACGTATATTAGCGTATCACTATATGAATCGGTACAATTGATTTATATTGAATTCTACGCTTTAGAAAGTAAGATTTATTTGTCCTTATTAGAATAATCAAAACTTACCATTTACCATGAAATCAACTGTAATAAATTAGCATATATTTTAATCTAGAGTTTGTTATACTAAAAATGAATAATGGTATTGAAATTTAATACATTACTGCTTCATTTACATTTAAATAATATTTTGCAAATTAAATTGAAATATTTCGATTATTAAGTACTAAATGAAATATTAATTAGTTTGAACTGCATCCTTAAATGCGTTAAAAATTATATGAACACAAGTGATATTTATACAAACTTGTATGCATTATTTACGATCTTTGAACAATGTCTAATTACTATTTTCTTCTAATACATTTTAATATTTCAATGTTAAGCCAATTATACTAATTTGCACATTCATTTATTAAAATATTAATTTATTTCTGGGATATGAAAAAGAAACATACATTTTACAAATTGCAAATTTTAAAAAAAAATTTAGCTCAATTTTAATGAAATCTGAGTCTTTATATTTTTAATTCTTTCAAAATTTGATGGTTTCAATCAGCAGCTACATTTGATACACTTCATTATTTAATAAAAATTGATAAGAATTATTTGAAAGTTAAGTCAATTTTATCGTATAAGAAATTAGACTATATTATTGTAATATAAAGCACTCTTATGATTAAAATTTTTTTTAAAAAAATTGTATGCAGTAGGAATTTAAAATGAATTAAATATTTAACATATATGAAATTCATTATACTATAAATGGCAGATAAATTTGTAAACATACTTACTTTCATTCAGTTTTCCTAAAAAATTAAATTTATTTTTGTTAAAAAATAAAGTTTTGTTTTCGTATTATGATCGCAACGTTGCTAGAAATCTTTAAAAGTAGATGGTAATTATACTCATTAATCTATCATTAATCTTCTAAATAATTTTTTTCTTGCTATCTATTTTTATCTATCAGTTTGCATACTTGTATCAAAGATACATCCAGTCACGTTTATATCAGTCTCACTTTACCAAATTAAAGACCAAATATTGAAGTTAATGTATTTATTAATGTCCTCAATTTGTTATTTAGTGTTTATATATGTGATACAAGCATCGAAAATGATATTCAACATAAACGCAATCTGTAGACAAATTTTTATGACTATAATAGCACAAAGTGTATTAGAATTAATCATCATCATCTTAATGACAATATTAAGGTCTTTTTTAAAATTAACCATATTTTTTCATGTTAGAATTTAAATGAGATAAGATTATAGCTTTTTATATTGTTGTATTTTTTTTGTTAAATTATACAAAGCTCAGTTTTTCTTATCGAAAACTGATACTAACATTTCATGTTGAGTCATTAAAAAAAACTACATGATTTCAGAAAGCACAAATTTTCCAAAACTCGTAGCTCTGTATATTTTAGTTATTACGTACTTCAAGTTTGATGACAAACACTATATGTACCTAACCAAAAGCAAACAAGCTATTGAAAACTATTTTTTATATTGTAATATGCTGAAAACTTATATGGGTGCATAAGTTAAAAACAATTTTGAAATGCTTACCTTGAATGAGATGACCGCCTGAAATAGTTCATAATAATGAGATGAAAGTTGCATTGTATTCAAATTTTAAATTACTCAAAATCAAATAAAAACCATTAACGAAACCAAAGTTTTTGTAACTAGATTCGTTCATTTAAAAATATTAATCACCGTGGTCAATATGAATTTACTAATATACATCTTAATTTCTTATTTTTTTTTCACCAATTTTAAACATTTAAGGACCCTATGATTCTTGATATGTCTGTACACATAAATGAAAAGTAGTAACACTCCTCGATTTTATGTCGCCGTTTCTGCTAATGCTGAAGATGAGATGGTCATCGAATTTTTTATGTCATTCTGCTGTTATATACCTCTGCTTTTTACTCGAGAACAAAGATTGTGGTATATATATGTGCCTTACAGAACCAACTAATTGAAAACATATTACCAGCTTATTGAAAAACTACAAAATACGTAATTCAAAAAATATTTTAATAAAGTAAAAATTAAGCCTTTTCATATTTTTCGATGTCGCAAAAAGCACTTTGTCCAAAACGAAAAACAAATTAAACTGCTTCCTTTAAAGCTGCATCGGCTACACATATTAACAAATATATTAATAAATATAATTAAACTTGCCATCTCTCCTCCTTTGACCATCTAACCCAGACATATCATTTATAACAAAAACTAATTATATATATTCATATTTGTCATTTAATTTCTAAAAAGAAAAATTATTTTATATACTTGAGTTTAAAATGATAAGTATAAAGCTTAAGTGAAAAAAATGCTTTCATAATACTAAATATCGGAATTTAAAAAAAAAAAATTGTTTGTACAAAAACGTTACTTACCAGCATGGCCGACAGCTAATAAAAGGGAATATATAATTAAGCAATAATAATTGTTTTTTCCATGAATTAGATTAAATTATTTATATTTTATTATTAAACTGAAATAACAATTTTCCATTTATATGTTTGAATTTCTAATGATACATTTTTTAGTTAAAATCTTACCGTTCACTAATCCACCTGAAATATAAATAAAGTATACATTAATGTCTGTATATATTGAGGCTTCAGATCATATTCTTAAAACTCCTCCAGTTGAACATTAAAGCATCTATTATGCACGCGTTTGTTAAAGCAATGCATTTTCTTTTCTTATAAAGTAAAAGTAAATAAATAAACTCTAAATAAAAACTATTTTTTAGATATTTTCAACAAATTAAGCATTGATTTATTACAATTGTCGAATAACATTAACAAACAATAATTATACATTTGTTTTGAAATATTAAATTTTTTTAATTTTTCAAATTCGAGTTAATATTCCGATTATATTAAACATGGTTGATTAGTATATCGTTTATTATTATGTAAAATTGTAAAACAAAGAAACTCATTAGAGAAATCGAAAATGAAACGAAAAATGTAGTGGAAGGATTATTAAAAGAATTTATTTCAAATTATATTTTTAATATTTAATTATATTATTCCTTTATAATTGTTTTTCAGGTCTTATTAGCATCTTGATCAGGATTTGTATTTGTGATTTCGGAAAAACAAGCCCATTTTACCATTTTATATAATTAACTAGTGATATTTATTATTTTACATTATTTACATTATTATAGTTCACATTTGAAATTTACAGAGGGCATAATTATTACAGCAAAATTTATTACATTATTTTTTGTCTAATTTTTGTTTTCTATGAAATTTTTTTTCCAAATATTAGCAGATATGATTAACAACACGATAAGGAGTAGATGTTTTGTATTTGAGGCGATGATTTTGTATCTATTTCATAAAATGGTGCCATGCATCAATCTGAAGTTTTGGAAATCTGCCTTAAATAATAAAATATTTTCTAACTTACCTACTGGTCCAAGAGCAGCTAGAATAATTTTCATTTGATTAAAAGAGAATTTAAATAAATATTAAAAGACTAATTAAAACTTAGGAAAAGTTTTATTAAGATATTATTAAACAGACAGAAGGAAGGAGGAAAAATTGTCTGAAATTAAATGAGCAGTAATTATAAGTATATTATTTTTATATCTGATCAAAATTACAGAGTGCTCAAAATTTTCTTCGAAAAAACACTTTGACTACTGAATAAATATATTAAAATTTAAAAATGTATGTTTTGCTTGAATTTTTTTTAAAAAAATATATAACAATTTAGTGTAATAAACATTTTAAGCAAGTACATGTGAAAATCAAATATATTACTATTTTCAATGAAAATTGTAATTAAAATTTTAAAAAAATACTTAGTATTTCATGAAGACCTTAAAAAAATATTTTTAAATTTGTATAAAATTTCATTTCTAAAGGTATGTTTTCATTCACAATTTGTTAATTTAATTACGCCAAATATGAGTCCTCGCATTTTTATTTAGTATACATTTTAATGTAATTAAGCTATTGCCATTAACAGAGTAACCAATTTCAAATCGAAGTCTGCTTCAATTGAATTCATTTTATTATTACTTATTTCAGTTATTGAAATTTGATACATTAAAAAAAAGTTAATGAGGAAAACGCAAATTACTTTCCTTTTATAATAGTAGAAATATTACTGCGATATAAAGATAATTTAAATTGAGGTTACTGTAACTTTTAAGATCAACCTAACGAAACGTAGATAAAATAAGAATTTAATAAGACTAAATCTTACTTCCACTGTCAGTGAGGCCTATAAAAGTAAACCAGATATTAATCATTATTCTATTGAATAAAAACTTAATTTAAGAGCAATTAAATCAATGGTAAATATTCAAAATAAAAGGACGAATTAAAAATTTGTTGAAATTCCAATAATTTTTATAGATATCCGATAATTTCAATGTTACGTTATATTAATAGGATTACACAGCGAAACTGAACCTTGATATCAGAATAAACATAAGTAACTGTGTTTAAATAATTACATTGACTCTCTTCTTATTAAAGATATTTTTATTTTATCGAATCTCTTTTAATTATGTAATGTACTGTAAAATTAACTTACATAAAACCACAGAATGAACATACCTACACTGTAAAAAATTCCGGATGAAACTAAGGTAAAACGACCGTAAAATCCATAGTACTGGAAATTCATTTTTGCTTATTACTATTTATTGAAATTATTATTTACTTGCCCATTATATATTTTCCGTAGCCTCTGCAAAACACATCCTGGATTGCTTGAGTCTTTCCAGAGAAGACTTATACACTTCTCTCGTTCTGGTTCTCTATATTAACGGTCTAGTGGAGGATAAGATAACAACAACATATATTTACCGAGGAGTCCATTCTAGATTTACTGTGAAATCCATTTTAACTAGAGCATGTTACGGAAACAAAAATCTGATGAACCGTAGTTTTTATACTAATAAATAAATATTGCATTACAAATTACGGAAGAAAATTCACTGTTCAATACGGTTCACTGTTAAAAGTTATGTTACGGTAAAATGTATTTTACGGATGATGCATTAAAAATGCTTGTACTTTATTCAGTCAATTGTACAGTACAAAAAATTAGAAATGAATTCGCCTATCTTCAGTCAGAGCTCTCCATACTAATTCTGGGAATGGCGCGAAACGTATATATGAAGAAAAGCCTAGTAAGCTATTTTTTTAGAAAATTTTTTTATAACTTTTAAAACTTTTTTTCTCCGTTCTATAGTCTTAATTCTTTACGCCTAGATGCTACATATTAGCTTACTTTAAGTGTACCTCAAGCGTATATTTATCTTAAAATGAGGCTCTTTAATTTTAATTAAGAGAAAGAGCTTCAAAAAACGACGTTAACTTATGTTTTCTATGAAAAACTTTCGCCCCCTTTTTCTTCAATTTTCCATAGTTTTTTTTAATGTAATTGATCCAACAATTATAATAAAATTATTATCTTCTATCATTCAAAATATAATTAAGCTAACTTATTCTTTACTACTAAGTTTAACTAAGATATTCTTTACTACTAAGTTTAACTAAGATATTCTTTAAAATGTATGAATTACTTACTGCTTATAGCTCCCATTACTATAAAATATAATAGTTGTATTTTACATTATAAATATTTATAATAATAATGTGCAAATATAAATGTATTTTTCGTATTAAAATAGAGTTCTGAAATATTTATTCACTTAATTAACTTTCCCATATAAGATATGCTCATTTTAATCAATCAAAACACACCTGGGCATTAAATTTTAATAATGCTTTCCCCTTTTCTGATTATAAATCTACTATTTTTTTAAAAAAAGGTTAATTTTGAAGAATATTCATCACGTATTATAAACTTTACAGTTTAGTCCATTACTGTTCTTTTTAATTTTTTATATGCACATATATACCAAGGCCAGAACCACAGGCAGTAATTATGTATCACTATTCGGCATCACTGATACAAGCCCATTTTTAAGGAAAATGACACCCTCGCTAAATTCCATTTTGAGGACAGATTTTGGGGACAGCCTTTTAAAATAAAATGGAAAAGGACAAATATTATTATTTATTTACTTATCATAAATTTTGGTGAAGAGGAAAAATATACTTTTCCATTTTGTCATTCTTTAGTTTTTGTCCGCATCAATGACATTTACTGAACTAGGAGTTCTCGGAGTTCTAGGAGTTCTGTATAACTTTGCCATTTTTTTTCTCGACAATGTTATTTTTTTCCTGCATCCCATGTGATAATATTAAATTTGCGAATTCTTTTAAATAAGCAATGAATTGAATAGATTAAACTTTGATGAAAAACTTCAATAATTACTATATGTCAAAAAATATTCCTAAGATTATTTAATCAAACTGTTTAACCGTACCGTTTTCGATCAATTTTATGAACGATTTTTTTTTCTTTCATGGAATTGTTTTAAAATAAAAATCATTTAGAGCTTAAACGTTTTAATTCCAAAAGACATAAACATTTTATTGCGCTAGATAAAATAGATAAATTTAATTTTTTACCATTATAATTGTTTTAATATTCAACTTTTCAATATTGAAAATTATAAACATTTTATCGTTACTTTCTGAATAATTTTTCTATTGAAACTCTTTAAAATTTATTATTTTATCTCCGTCTGAATTTTCTGCTTTCTTTTTTACGTTATTCTGGAGTGAAAATTAATTAAACTAATTCTTTGCTATTATGTAAATACTATTATTTTCATAAGAGAGATATAATACATAAGACATAATCGGCAGAGAAATTGCTTATTAAATTAAAATTTATTTAATATATTGAAGTACAAAGCTTTGAAGAATAATTTTTCCTTAAGTAATAAAAAAACAAAATTATTAAATAAATACTACTTACGATTTCCCACTCCACCTAAAAACAAATATTTAACTTTGATAAATTAATTTTATGACATGAAGATATGTTAAGAAATCAATTGTTGGTAAATCAGTTAGATCATAGTCATATAAATAAGAAGAAATAAATAAAAGTGTGGAGAAAAACACTTTAATATTGACATATTTTCCGAAATATCCCATTTATATATGAAGTAAGTCAAAAATTTCAGAAAAAATTACATTTATTCCGAAAATTATTTAAGACTCGGGAACTTATTATTCTGATACATATCGAAATACTTCTGATTAGTCTTTTTTAAATTTTTGACCAGTTTTTAAGTATAACAAATGTAGCGAAAAATATACTTCTGATATTTGTCGCTATAATTCGCTGTTTTCTTCGGGAAGGAAGTTGCTTATTGAGAATTCGTTTAAGAATAAAATGCCTTTGTCCGATTTTTTTTTAAAAGTACATAATTGGGACATACAAAATAAAAAAAATGCTTAACGATGAATATTTTTAAATTTATTCATATTGTTCAAATGAATGTTGTTAAAATCGTTTGAAAATTTATCATAATCATGAGTTGCAGGAGGTTCAGATTGAAAAAAAAGTAAAGAGTTAGTATAAAGTTAGTATAAAGTAAAGAGTTAGTAAAAGTTAGAGTTAGTATATAAATCTTACCATTAACGGTATTCCTTACTGAAATAAAATAAATAAATGGAATAAAAAATGACTTTTAAAAATAGCACGTAGATCTTTTATTCAAAAGAAGAAAATGGTATGCATTTTTTCTGTTTATTTATGTATACATCTATTTATATTGTTTATGAAGAAGTAAGGCTCGAAGATAACATTTTTCACATTAGTACCCCATTTGCATATCACGTTAATATGCATTTACTGTTACTTTTTTATGTATTTTACTAGTACAAGAGCAAATTAAATTTAATTTCCAAATTCGTCCACATTCACATAATATCTAGATGTAACACAAATAATTAGCCGATACTTCATACCTGATAAATCCTTTACAAATATTTACAATGTGTAATATTTTTAAGTCAATTTACATATTGACATAACAATAGTATTTATTGATTAAAATATTTTTACTAAACTCTTTTACTCCGAAGAAAACCTAGTACGAAATGATATCATAAAAAACAAGAAAACAGACTAGTAAAGTATGATATAATTATTCAAATTTAAGTATTAAAACAGTTATTTATCATTTATTTGGATGAGAAATTAAAATTAATTCATCATAGACTCGTGTTTAGCTTATATGTTAGACAATATTTTATTTTGACGAGATTGCACCGGGAATGAGGTACAGGAAAATGAATGTAGAATTGTTAATTGAGAAACTGTTCTGTATTAATTGTTAAAGTTATTATAACTTTCCTCATGTTCAATTATAACTTTCAAATTCCAAATAAATTACACTGGGATACAATTTTTTTGTTGCATTTATACAAATACTTGATCTTGCCTTGCTTGGATGTGGAGATTTTAAACATGAAATTGGTTTTGCTCCTAAAGCTACAAATTGTTTTTGACATTTTTAGTATATATTTTGCTGAAATTTAAAAATGTTAAGTATATATATGTAGCTTGGTGATGAAAACCGATAGCAGATTTGAAATCAGATATCCAAAAGTATCTAAAATCTATCAAAAAACCTCATACTATAGAAAAAAATTTTCCCAGTTTTATCCACTAAAATATATAATTATTACTTAAATTATATTTCTTTTTAATGATGCATAATTAATTATTTACGCAGTTTGAATTTTCTAAATTTCTTTAAACTTACTTCCAGTAGCTGCTCCTGAAATACATATAAAAAATAAATTAATTGTATAAAAATTAATAATATTCTGCACTTTGCAAATTTCATTTTTGTTTTATTTTTTACATTGCGATTAACTACTGTAACTAATTACAAAGACTAAAAATATTTAAATTTACAGTGTTTTTTTACTGCAATATAAATTGAACTCGTTTATTCACAAGTGTTGCATTATGAAATTGTTAACTTACTTACAAACAAAATCCTTTGTTTAGGGTATTTATCAATGTAACAGATTAGTAAAATTTTTTAAGCTGAAAAAGTTCTATTTTGAGATGAAATGAAATTAAAAAAATAAAATAAAAGGATGGAATAAAAGTAGCCCTTTCAAATTCGTAAAAAATAATAATTTCAAATATGTTTGCAGTTGCATTGTAGTGCAAATACTCATTTACTTCAGCAAGATTTTTTTAAGTCTTCCAAAAGTTATCATAAAAATCCGCTTCGCTCCTTTTTTCCTTTAAAATGCTCAAATGCAATGATTAACAAAATACTTTTTTAATACATTTTTATGCTATGATAATAAATCATGACATTTGTCGACAATTCTACATAATGTGGTTCATTCGCAAATAGTTCAAGTTTCTGTTTCAAACAAGGTTACATAAGTTGTGTTCATTTAATTTTTAAGAGTTTCGGATTGTTCGAATATAATAATAATATGGAATAAAAGCAGACCAGTAAAAACCACTGATGTGGAAAAATTATGTGAAAATGCAATAAAAGTTAATAATATTCTGTAATTAAATACAATGCACCAAAATAATAATATGCTAAATAAACCGTGAGTAAACCAAAAAAATATATCACTTTAAATAACTTTTCTAATACTCTGATTTTCTCAAACTGAGTGCCAATCTTAATATTTCGAAAGAGAGACTTAAAATTTGCTTCCTAATTAGTTTTCAATGCCAATAATGTTACAGAAACACGCACAAAAGGTCTTTTTTAATAAACTTCTTTTTGCAAAAAATTGGAACATCAAAATGAGAGAGAGGGTAAGTCATAATCTTAAAAATATTTGAATACATCAGGAAAATATAGCAGGGCTGTCGAAATTTGATAACCTTATGTTAATTTCCATTTTTACGCTTTTAGCTATATCTCAGAAAGTTTTAAAGCTGATAGAAAATTACTTGCACACATTTATGTAATTCTCTTATCCGAAGGTAATTTCTTGGTGGTAATGAGAATTAAAAAATATTGAATTGCATTTTAAATTATGTAAACGTGAATGACAAAATGCAAAACTTGAGCAAAATCTGCCAAATAGTTTCGAAATTATGATACTTTTTTTAAAAAAATCAACTATATTTTAATTTTCTAAAAAAAATAGTAGACCTTTTTTTTCAAAATATGCATTTACATAGTTCAAAATGATGTAAAATGGAAAGTATACCTTACTATTTAAAATTCGTCGAACCTTAATTATATAATAATAAAAAATTATTAAAAGAATTTTTAAAAAAGTTTACGGTGGATAAATTAGATAATAATCTTTGGATAAATTAATTTTAAAACTTTTGCAAAAAGATTTGGATTTGCTTAAAAAACTAAAAGAGACATTGCAAAATACACAAAAAAGTGAAATTAACATTAAAGGAGATAAACTTTCGACTGCTCTCTTGACTTTAACTTGACCATATTTTTCCAATTGCTGCTACTTTTCCTATTTTATTATTCAAAACTTATAAAGCAAAATATCCTTATTTAAAGAAAACACGTTTGTGTGTGTCATTCTGTAAATTAATTAATAGTAATCAGATCATTAGCACAAAAGTTATTCAGGCTGGTATATTTTGCTTTCATTTTGAGCACAGAACACAGACATTTTTAAAACCTCATTATTTTTAAAACATGATTATTCTTAAGAACTCAGTTTCAACACTATTGTATAGATAATATCAGCAGGATATGTGCATCACATTACAAGAAGAAATTAAATGCTCATTTTTAAACTTCAGTTAAATTATTAAATGAATTTAAAACTGCAAATATTATTATTCAGAATAATTAATTTACAGAAAGGTCACTAAAAGAAGATTTCAGCTCTTCTCTTGATCTCATTGTAGTGTTACCTCACTGAAAATGTAGATGACATAAGAGAATATGGAATTAATTTTTAATTTGTTTAACCTATGCAGAAAGTAAATTTTAGTTTATTTAGTGTACAAATAATTTCAATGACTAAACAAACATTTTTTTGCAAACATTATTTTCCAAAAAAAGTGCTGAAATAAAATAAATTGATTTCTTACTATCAATGAGTCCACCTAATAAAACACAAAATCATCGTAAATATAAATTATTTATTAAATTACAGTTGTGCTCTGGGATAGAAATTTTATGTAAAAATGAATATTATACTTAGTTAGGTTTTTAGTAGTTTAAAAAAAACTGCTTTTTATGATAATTTTTTTGCTAAAATTTATTTTTCCTCTTCAGGGTACTTATTCTCATTAAAAAATTATAATTAATTGAGGGAAAATCTAATTCAGATACATGTTTTAAAAAAAATTGTACGATGATACTGGGGGAAATACTTAGAAAAGATAAATTAAGTAATAAAATTTAAATTTCTATTGTGAATTTGAACACAGTAAAAATGTTGTGTAAAAATGAAGTAAAAATAAGAAGCATTTGAAACTTACGATCGCATCTGCGTCCTGAAAAAAAACATTTTTACTTCAATGAACTAGTTATTCTAAATAAATTATTCTTAATTTTGTGAAAAACAGAGTGTCTTTGAAAACAATTGAGCTTAAAATGTTAAATTTAATTGCAAAAATTTACATTTAAATGTCATGAGTATTTAAATGTAAATTCAATCTGAACGATGTTTTTTTTCTTTATATGAAATTTCATATATTTTTAAACTTAAACTAAATATAATATTGCATTATAGCAAATATTATTTCACTAAAATGATTTATTATTTTAAGAAATTATTTAAACAAATATTTATTTATTTATCTTCAATTAAAACTCTTCATTTTCACTGAAATTTTAATATTATTTTTAATATGCAGAAACATGAAAGTATACGAAAGAAGAAAGACATAATAAAGAGTTTCAGCATTTACATGGTTCAATTATTTAATTCTTGTGTTTCAGTTTTCTGTCCGTTGTTTTCTGTTGGGATAAAATTATTATATTTGAAAGAAGACAAATGATTTAATATCATTTCAGATTATATTATTGCTTTTTTTAACGTATATAGTTAAATGCGTGTTATGTAACCAGAAAAACGGAGGAAAAAATTAAGTTCAAAATTATTAATTATATATACTTTAGAAATGAACAAAGTAAAATTAACATTGGATTAGGGTTTTATATCATACCAATTACATCAAACTCATCTGCTTAAATTTTTATGTTTTCTTATTTAATCAAATATTAAAGGATACGTTAAAACACGCAGATAAAAAAATGATGACTCACATTTCATTGGAACTTCTAAAGAGACCAGTACAATGTAAATACATCCGGATCAAATTACGATATAAAATACTGACCCTCTGCGTGCATCATCAGTAAAATTTTTATTTTACCGTAAAAACCATTTTGACCATAAAACATTATATCGTAATTTTTTCAGTAATATTTTATTAATTAGAGTGATTCAGTTATTTCAAGGTAATTATTATTCTAAAAATTACGGTATATCTGATTTTTATTCCGTAATGTGTTCCGGTAAAAATGGATTTTACGGTAAAATTACCGATACCCCGAGTGCCTATAATTTTTCTTTAGTTTGATTCGGAATTTTTTACAGTGCAATAGCACATTCTCCATTTATATTTGCAATTTACTTCTAAAATATCAAACTAGACTTCTTAATGTTATTACCAGGCCAACTAAATAGCAACAGTAGAATAAATAACAGTTAGTAATCGTAAACTGCTTATTCTTACTTTGATTAACTCCAAAAGCTCCTTCAAAACTGTATCCACCATTTTTCAGAGAAGCATCATAATTTGATCTCAGTTCAGGAGCAACTAAAAAAGAAAAAACACAGGTGAGGTACCTTATTAGATATTACAAAAGTATCTGAAAATAGTACAGATATCCTTTCAAACAATAGTCTGTTTAGTCTAGTTAATTGAGAATTAAGAATAATTACAAATTATTTTGCGTTAAAAGTCAGAATTTTAAATAACTGTTCTAACTTTCAACCAATTTTTGTTATATCATTAAACTTCAAAATTTATAAATTGAATTGTATGTAGATTTTAGAACTGAAAGACTGTAAGTTTTGCTTTTTAATCTTTTTGACTATTCTACGTTATGTTAAGAGAATGATCACATAAAAGTGTATTTTAAGAAATAATTATAACTTCGGGAATGAAGAGAGTCAAGAACTTATTATTTGAAAGAAAAGTACATTTAATACAAACAGTTGTTTGCATATAAAAGCAAAAGCATTCTGTCTCAGGCTTCTGTTCCTCCAATACAATACAATTATTTTGCTTTTGAAGTAAATTCTTCCATAATTTTAAAAGCCATATGACGGAAAATGTATAATATAGATAAAAAAATATATTTAAGCATCAAATTCGAATTCTTTAGCCTGGTTAAACAATCATAAAATTTCCTGATTTAATTTTTCAACCAAATATGATTGTTAAAACTGCTCCGGTATAAATTATAAAGCTTAGAGAGCTATATAGGTTCATTCACATTAATTTGCACAATTGCAGATGCAGAAAGCTAGTAGTAGCCCCAGGAGTCATCAATTTACATTAATGATGTTCAGAAGACTATTCAGGTATTTTATAACTTGAGAGAGGAATAAATTAGATGAACAGCTGAATACAATAGATGCATTCAAAGTTTTACGAGATGATATTTTTCATCATATAACATCTGTCTCTCATTGTGATGATTTATAATTGCGAAGTTTTCATTTTGAGAGATGGAGTTTTCGTAACGGTATTAATGACCAAAGGTGATTATCAATTATTTTAATCTATCACTTATACAATCCAATATTTTGATAATCCATATTTTCTAAAACATAGACCCATTCCCATATATCTTGATATTTTTGTCGTTCTTTGTTATTAAATGAACTAATGTAAAGGAAATTTAAGTTCCTTGCTGATTAGTATTAGATGAAATTTTGTTTGTTGTATAAAAACTTTTCTAGCCTATCATCTAATTAAATATAATTCATGGCAGCAACTGCATATTTGATAGATTCATATAAATAAATAATTCATGTGATTTAGCAACAAATATTCACGGAATGAAATTATTTTTAAATGAATCAAGATCAATAATCCTTAAAAATATGGGTAGAAAACTATTTGGTAAGATTACATCAATAATTTGGTTATTTTCTGAAATTTGTACAAGTTTGCCAGAAAAAAAGTTGCTAGTAGAAATAAAATTTAATAACTTTATTGTAAATTAGTCTTAAATAATATTTCAAAAAATTTATCTGGTAATTGTTTAAATATTTTCTATACATTTCAATGAACTTTTTTGATAGTGTAACACTTGCTCAAATGTACAGTTCATCGATGTTATTCAATTAATTATATACTCGAAGAAAGTAACATTTTTTAGAACGAAATATATTTTATAATGGTCCGAAGAAGGGAGAAAAAAAGAGCCAAAATGTTGTTTTTTATTATTTTGAATATTCAATTCAAATACTTTCAGTTTTCTTCTGTTTATTTATGTTTATATACTTACCATCACGCATATAATAAAATCATTTCTGCATGCAAATCGTGCAAAGATTCCAATTAATAGCTTAAAATATTTCTTAATATAATTTTGTTGTTGTTGTTATATTTGGTATTTTATAGTACTGTTTCGTTATTAAAGCTAAAAAAATATCATGAATTGCTTAAATTATTAAATATGAAAAAAAATCAATGCCGTCAGATGGGGTGACTTTGTGCAAACTGTCATTTTTTTCAATTTTTGTGTCGTGCAATTTTTGCGTCGTCTCTCAATTTAGCGTCTTTAAGCTCGGTATCAACTGATTTGAGTTGTCAACATAATGAACTAATGGTTTACCAAGAACTGCCAATGTAAACATCATCGTTCTTGGAAAATTGTGAGCTCAAGTTACAAACAGTTTCAGATTTTTAACGTCGCATAATCGGAGGCTGGAAAGTCTGCTCGGTAAAAGAATTTCCAGTTATCCTGGCTAAGAAGGTAGGCTATACTTTAAAAGTCTTCAATTGAGATAACAAATTATGCATAATTTTTTGCTTTTAATTATTATAATGTTAGTTATTTAATAATTAATGCACCCTAGGGTGACTTTGTGCAATTTGTTTTTCAGAGAAAAGCTTGCCAAGGACTTATATACGAAAGCCTGGATCAAGATATTATTGTGATTACTACACCAAACAATCGTTAGAAAAATTTTTGACAGAAGTAAAAAATGGTTTATCCATTTCGAAAGCGTCAAAAAAGTTCGGAATTCACTGAAACACGATTTTGAACAAAATTCATGCGAAGCATTCGAAATCTCGCAGTGAATATTATTTTTCATTTTCATATTGTTATTTTTCATTTAAATTTCCATATGTTAATTGTGTAAAACATTTAATAAGAGACTGTTAATAAGAGTGGAACATTTCGAGTTGGAGGCAATTCGGGGGCGTTAAATGAAATAATTCATTCAACTGTTCATTCATGTCAATTCATATCAAATGTTTGATTGTACCTGAAAATCATAAAAAAAGTTGCCAAAGATTTAATTAATAAGAAAAAAACTAAAAATGTAAAAAAATCTAAAAGTTAGAGTTTTATATTCATTTTAAGTAGATTTGCTAATACATAGTACATATTTATATGTAATATATTTGTATTGTACGTTAATGTTAAATATTGTTTATTAAACAATTTTAAGTCAAAGTGAATGAAAACAATGGATCTGAGTCATTATTTTATTGCATTGCACAATGTCACCCCATCCAGGCGTGACTTTGTGATGGTCCAGGCGTGATTGCTTACAAATAATAAACATTTCAAATCAGCTCTTAACTACGTGGAATTACTTCCCAGATGGCTGACAACAAATATTAGATCAGATGCTGTACAATTCAGCATCATTTAACTATTTTTTTATTAGATCAAAGTTAGAAAACTGAATATTCCTGCACAAAGTCACCCCATCTGGCGGTACAATATCTCCTGCATGAATAATTTGTTAAAAATAAATTTTAAAGTTTTAAATTTACTTTAATATTTCAAGGAAATTGCGAAAAAATAATTAATTAACATTGATTATGGAAATAAGTAAAACTTTTAAAAAAATATACTATCAAAATAATTCAAGAAAAATGGTACAAAACTTCCAACGAAACAAAGAGATTATCACCTGGCATTTCGAACTTCAATTCATAGTTTTACAATTTAATTTTATTATTAAGATATATTGAAGAATATTTTATAGAAGTATCAATGAAAAGTCTTATTTTTATCTATTTATCAACTTTAAATGAAAAAATTATATATCTTACATTTTTATATAAAGATCTAAAAATGGCTACATAAAATTAAAACATTTAGCCCTATACCTTTGCAGCTTAAAAATTACCTGTATATCAGTATGTTACAGATAATTTTATTATTTTATGAAATAGCTTTAAAAATCTTCGAAATTTTTTGTCGGAAAAAAACATATGAAATATACCAAGATAATAATTTCATAAATTGAATACTACTATAAAAATTTCGATGTTACTAAAATAAACTTACGATAATAGCCGTTACCATGGAACAATATCATTGCAAATTTTGTTTATCCAATTGTTTGTTATCATTACAAATTTTTCCCCACAATTAAGAACATACCGTTGGTTTTTATGATAAATAATCTTATATTAATTGTGTATAACTATTTTTATATTTTTACTTCTCGAATATTTAAAAAAAAATTAAAATAACCAATATCTTTTTTTTCTAATTCAAGTGTACAAAAGAAAATGACATAATTAACAGCTTTGGAAGTCTGGCAGAGAAATTTGAAGTTTCAAAACGATGAAAAGAAATAAAAGATAGGAGTGTTATTTACCTTGTGAAGTTTGTCCTTTGGCCCCTGTAATTAATTAAATTGATCATGAAACCATACAATTTTTAGGGGGGGGGTGAGACCACCACCCAGAAATTACCAGATTTAATCAATATGTTCATTAACATTAAGATATGTACAAAATAAAAAATCATTAAAACACATTTTTTTTAAATGATTTTTTTTTGGAAAAAGTCAAATTCCCCGGTTTTAACCCACTAGTTGATTATGGCCGGTTATGCATGTAAACTCTATAGAATATTAAAAAATACTGGAATTTCCGTTTAAAAAAGGGAATTTTTTTAAAAATTTATATGCAATTTAAGAATATTATGTACAGAATTCACATGCCAAATAGTTATCTTGTTCCTCCATTCCAACGAAAAATTCGCGGACACAGAAAAAAAACATTTTCCTTTTCGAATACGCATTTATCCTTTTATTTACTTAGAAGATGTATAACTACAATGCAAACATTAAATATTTGATGTGTTTTTATCTTCTCTATCAGAAGAAGAATCTATTATGGCAAATCTATATCCGCAGCAGCTAACAAAACTAAACTGAAAGCATATTAACACACTCTGAACAAAACTAAACTAGACACACATTTTTCAATAAAATAATTAAAACTATTATGTTTTTATTCTTTTAAAATTGTTTTTTTTAACTTTCCACAGCAAAAATTTAATCTAATATATGTAGCATTAAATAAATATTAATAATCTTTAATGAACAATAATTCTTAAATAACAAAACCTTTATGTTAACTTGCAAAAATTATAATATAGAATACCTGTTAAACTTTTCAACTTACATTGAAAAAAGAATAAATTGCAATTTTAATGTGAGTTTTATGCAATGGAAATAGGAACCAGCATTGCAATATTTCCTAAGCGATTATATTGCAATTTAGTTTTTTTTTTCATTTAAATATTTAAGTGAATAAATATTTCTTTTTATTAAATGTGATTATTTAATGTATATTTTATCTGTTTCTCAAAAAATCGATAACTTTAAATAAGGCGTACTTATTTCAACTATGCCAGATATTTACAACATAAACTTTACAGTTGTATATTTAATTTTCGAACACATTATGAACTCAATCAAAAAACAGTAAACATTTTCTCATTATATCAAATTTGAAACCTTTTTTTTTATTTATGATAATTTACTTGCATAATTATAATTTGATAACAAACATATTTCATTCATTATAAAGCAATTTAAGAATCTCTAACAAATCAAATAAAAATTGACATTTTTACTTACCCAGAATTGCAGGTTTTGCAACTATGAAAAAAATTAATAGCTATTATTGATCAATTTATTATTTAAAATTACCATAGTAAATTACCAAATTTGTAACGAATTAATTTTTTTTGTAACATGCTCTGTATGTAGACATGGAGAAAAAAAATGTAGGGAAATTGCTACACTGTATGATAAGGTTTTTTTCGTGTAAAAAACTGTAACATAATCCTGGTTAATAAAACCAAAATATACAGCTTTTAAACCATTCATTTGGTAATTTTTTGACATGGTAAGAGATTGCCGAAAATTCTAGTTTTCAAAATTATATTTTTTGTTACCATTCTTTTAGTAAAAAAAACTGAAAAATAAATTGATCCACTTATCTAGTTCTTCACCATGTTCTCTCTCTTGCTGAAATTGCCAAATTTAACGACACTTACCAAATTTTATCACAAATTATAAAATGATATTTTATTGGTAATTTTACCAAAATTATAACCAAAGCGCTTCGCTTAAAACTACCAAATTATGGTGTTTTTATAGAGCAGGAAACTTGATAAATTTTATCATATTCAGGTAGTTTTCGAACATACTTTTTTCTCGGTTTAGAATTAAAATATGCATTTAAAACACATAAATATTTTTAAAATTTAGAGTATTTAGCATATAAAATAGCATACGTGTAATATATTTCAAACATATTTTCCAGTATAGGGCAAAATACTGGTCGATATGAGGACAATGGTGAAAAAAGTAATAAAAAATAGCGACATGATGAAAAAAGGGAAAATTAACGCTTCTAATCGCGACTCTTTTCACAGAAAATAAAACAGCTTGAGGTAAAACACGGGCTTTAAACTTCTTATATTATTTATGACACATCAAAGCTGTAATCAATTTAGGAACAAAAGCCATTTTTGGCGTTTTCAAATTTTCAAGAATTTTAAATTTTCAAATTTTTGTTTGTCAAAGGTTTCATTCGAGTTCAAGTTTATTTTAAATTGCTTTTTTTAATTTATGACCGATAATACTTAAAAATAAAAAAATTCAGGTAATTTCCACATCATGATCGCTATTATTAAAAAATTATTTTGTAAATAAAAAATTTCATGTTTGTTAACAGAGTTGTTATGTTGCATTAATAGTTCATATCCTCTAAACTCAATAATTAATTACAATGATTAAAAGTTTAATTAACCAACTTGGTGGGATCAAGAATACTTTTCTTTTCAAATGGAAACTGCAATGTTTAACATGCTTTTGTAAATCCTTAAAAATAAATTACTAAATTTAATAATATTAATATTTTTTATCTCTCTCTGTTTATACACACACACACACACANACCCGCCGTGGCATTGATTCCACAAGGTGCTGATATGTAGTCTGAGGTATCTGGTACCAAGCGCTCACCAACTGGTCCTGCAATTCCCTCACATTGCGAGGAGGTAGCAGTTTTGCAATAGGTTTGACCAATGGGATTTCGAATTTTACATATAAGGCTCTAACTAAACGACGCCTGAAAGTGTCGATTGCGTAACAACCACCCCTTATAAACTTCCTAGCTGCAGAAAAAAAGCAGGATCCTAATCTGTGCTATTTTGGATGTATATATGTATAATCGTGCGAGTTATTAACTATTATACAAATATTCATATGGAATACACGAATCTCTTAATCGCTTTAATATCTATATCCATACACCGAAGAACCATTAAATTGCGACCACCCTGCTAATAACATGTAAGACCCCCCTTAGCCCTCAAAACTGCTAGCACCCGCCATGGCATTGATTCCACAAGGTAGTCTGAGGTATCTGGCACCAAGCGCTCGCAAACTGGTCCTGCAATTCCCTCACATTGCGAGGGGGTAGTGTGGCAGCACAGATTTGGTTTTCCAAGTAGAACCACAAATGCTCTATTGGATTAAGGTCAGGAGAATTTGGGGGCCAAGATATGACTTGAAAGTCACTAGAATGTTACTCGACGATTCGACCCTTATGACATGGTGCATTTTCCTGCTGGTAAACAGCCTCCCCCGCAGGAAAAACTGTCGCCATGAATAGGTGAACTGGTCTGCAACTAAGTTCAAGTATCTTACAGACGTTAGGGATTGTTCTATGAGGAATATGGGTCCTAATGTGGCCCATGAAAACATTGTTTCTGGGCGAGAGACCATGAAAACCTGGGTATATATATATATATATATATATATAACTGGCAAAGGAATGAATAAAATAAAATTAACACATAAAGAGATATATTAAAAATAAAAGCACGGGACAATTTTTAAGAACAACAGAGAGTTGTTGATTTTTTAGAAGATACTTTTTTGTTTTTGGAATTTGAAGTTTATACTTACCCGATACGGGTTTTTCTATATTTTTTTTGCAAAATTATTACTATCCCGTTACAGGTACTTTAATTTCATTACTGTATTTGTTGTTGTGAAATAAATGTGTTTTTCTTTAAAAAAAAAACAACTGTCTCTTAATATAGCTTGATATGTTACGCTACCAACTGGTTAGTAACAACATTTCTTCGTTTTGCCTTATATTTACTAATTAAATAAGCAAAAATATCTTCAAAACTATCAAGGACTTCAAATGTCTTATAATCATTAAATTTTTTTGGCGTAGATTTTTTTCCTAATTAATTCGCTTTGCAAATTAATGAAAACACCTGTTTTCAAAAAGTTTTTTTCATAATTTTTAGATTAAAATTAAAATTTACCTTTAACTAAAAACTGTTTGGTCCCTTTTTTTATTGTTATTCCACGTGAGAGCCGTTAACCGAGTTTCAAAATATATTTCGTCACATAGATAGAAAATATGATTTTAAGATTACTCACCTTGAGATATTTCTACAGAAGAGCCTGCAAACAAAAATATTTTTTCATGTTTTCAAATAATTATACAAATGTTTGAACATTTTTATTGTTTATATTATATTCTTAGGTACTAAGTTTTAAAATAAAGAAATTTAGTTATCTCACCACTAGATGTACTTAAAATTGTTTTTTGACAATAAATGCACTTCGTTGAAGTACAAATTCCACTTTTAATAGACTGTTTACACTAGAAGTTATTTTCTCTTATAGTTATAAATTACTTATGTATAGTATATTTTTGCAAAAAAAAAACTTCATTAGTCTTGAGATCCATAATCTTAAAAATAAGTGTATGTAAAAAGACGCAAACTTGTCTAATTAAATAAAAGAAGAAGAAAACTGTAATGCTATGCTTTGTCAGCTAAAGCAACATCCTTATGCTTAAACCTGCAATAAAATTTGTGCAGTAGATATGTATAACAAAAAATACAATTCATACAAATTTTTTTTTAAAAATTCTCCATTCATTCGGACAAAATGAATAATACGATTCTAAGCATAAATGAACTATTTCAATGCCTTTTATAATATTTTTCCCAGAATTTTGTATATGATGTCGATTATAAAGAGCCTATTCTGTAGTTTATTCCATCAAATGTTTAAAGCCTTTATTAAAGTGCGTAAAACAATGCTTAAAAAAACATTATTTTAATTTCATATTTTTATGTAAAATCAAGACAGATTTTCCATTATTTTGCAGGAAACAGGCGAAAATTTAATTAAAAATAACAATTTCATTAACTTAAAAAATATTTCCTTTTTGGATTTCTAAAAATAGAATGTAATTAAAATTACATATTCATTTTTGCAACTGATTTTCTCTACAAAGTAATAAATGTTCGCAGCGACTATATTTTAATTTTACATTTTGAATTTCAGTTTTAAATACAATTTAGTTCAAAATACAAATTTAGTTCAAAATACAATTTATTTAAATAAATTATATTTTGTCAAGAAAAATGTTGGTTTTAGTTTGGTTTGAAGCATATCGTTTTAGGTAATTTACTTACCTCCAGATGAAGGTCCTACAAAAAGTAGGGCACAGTAAAAAATAAGTACAAGAACAAATAAAAACAAAATTGGTTATATTTAGTTAACGTGATAATGACACAAATACTTATTATAGATAAATATTTATTATGATAATATTTTTGCTTATGTTATGAAGAATCACCACAGAAACATAAATAGTTTTATAGTTCTGTTTTGTTATTGAAGCTAAGAAAATATCATAAGTTGCTTGATTTATTAAATATGAAAAAAAATCAGTATAATATCTCCTGCATTAATAATATGTCAAAAATAAATTTTAAAGTTTTAAATTTGATTTAATATTTCAAGGAAATTGTGAAAAATTAATACATTAACACTGATTATTGAAATAAGTAAAACTTTCCAAAAATTATATTTTTAAAATAATTCAAGAAAAATAGTACAAAATATCAAAGTATAATAAGTAAAAATAAATATTACGACATATCAATATAGTGAAAAATAGGTAATTTACTTACCTCCAGATGATGGTCCTGCAAAAAGTAGGGCAGAGTTAAAAATAAGAACAAAAACAAATAAAAACAAAATTGGTTATACTAAATTAATGTGATAATGACACAAATACTTATTATAGATAAATATTTATCATGATGATATTTTTGCTTATGTTATGAAAAATCACAACAGAAACATTAAATAAACAAAGAAACGCAGACATGCAGAAGAAACCCATCGAAAAATTATGTACAATTTACACTGAGAAAAAATATCCACTCAAAGAATGGAAAAAAAATAAGTTTGAGTAAGACAATCAAACAAAATAAAAGAGAAAATAAAACTATGTCTTAATAAAATAAGAAACATCTGATTTTGCAAAATGGAGAAATTAAAATAAAATAGTTTTCAAAACATTTAGAAAAAAATGGAATATCATTGACTAAGTTATTAAATTTTGTTAAAAAAATAGGAAGTGATTTTAGTGATTTTTCAGCTTATAATGATATTAAAGTTGTGCCAAACTACTTACTACCATGTAATGTTTTTAAAACATATCTTTCATGTTCTTTAAGTCATTGGTCAAGGTCTATGCTTGTTCTTTTTAACCAATTAGTCACCCTCCTTTAGATTATTAGTACATACACTGTTTTTCAGATTATTAATACATACACTGCAGTTTCAGATTATCAATACCTGCACTGTTAAAAATTTCTCGAAAAAAATGGTTAAATAACAATTTACTTAAATATTATTTTAATATATTCAAACAAAGCAGACAAATAACCATAAATAAGATGGTATTCAAATTGTTGACTGAGAGAAAACCGTTAACTTCTTTCAAATAATACGGTTAAACAATCACAATTTAATCGCACCAACTAGGCCCACGAAATGAGTCACATAGTTCCTTGAAGCTGTGTACATGTTATAGCCGTGAGGGCTAATCTGTCAATTTCAGTGCCGAGAGAATGGGGGTTCAAGTCCCTTCGTCGACACCACACTATTTCCTCTATTTTCTTCATCTTATGAAGAGTTTTCAATGTTCTGTAGTCTCCGTTGTCTAACCATGGACATTTAGAATACAATAGCCTCGCTCACGCATAGATGGCAGCACCGTAAAGCTGCTTAACACAAAAAGTCTAGTATTTCCCATCTCTTTTGATAGGTAAAACAGCCAGATAAGCTATTTGAACCACATTCCGTGCTTTATTTGATAAAACACAACTCAATTACAACATGACTCTCATGCCATTACCGAAAAAACAGCGTAACCCATTATCTAACAAATATTTAAAATATATAAATAATTTATTTTAAGTAAATTATTAAAAGTAAAAATAATAATATAAAGCATGTTTATATTTTTACTGCAATGCTTTTTTTCACTAAGGGATTTAAAAATTTCTATAGATTGCTACTATATAGATTGCAATTGCATATGCAATCATCTACAATAATCATCTACAATAAAATTCAATCGATACAATCATTAATCTATGTGAAGAGAGAAGGTGATCGATGGTTGTATACACAGTAAAATAAATTTCACTCCATACACTACCAAGCAAATATTCGTAAATAGACACATTCATTTATATTTCAATTAAATACATACACGAAATAATTATTAACGCCTTAAATTTATTGATATATTGTACAGGGAAAAAATCAAAATGTTAAAACTCTGAATAAATTTAAATCTTATGATAGCATTAGCACACAATATTAATAATTCGAATCATAAAAATGCTAATTAAAGTGCACAGATGATAATTTTAGTTACAAAAACAGACACAAAAAAGCTCTTTTTCTGAATAGACATACCTTTTTTACACACTGAGAAAATTTCATGTTCAAAACTACCAACATACGGTAAAATGCTTTATGCTTGGTAATTTTTATCAAAACGTCCTGGTAATGCTTTAAGTAAAATTACCCATAAAATATGCTTACCTAATATGTGATAAAATTTGTTGAATATCGTAAAATTTGGTAATGCTTTTATGACATCTCAAAGCATGGCACAAAAACAATTTATTCGGTTAAATTTACTTTTCAGTTTTTTATATTTTACTAAATGTGAGCTAATAAGAACTATAATTTTATAAACATAATGAGATTATAGGATGATTAGAGATCCTAGTGGCCCAAGGAGCTTGCTTATTTAAAAATAGATGTATTATAGTAAAAAAAAAAGTTCTTTAGTTCTTTTTATGTAAACTTTACTGATTCAAAATCTGCCTCTAATTTTACTTTCAGTCCTTATTTTTAAATTTCCTCACGCAAAAGTAAAAATGTGCTATTTATTAACATCTGATGTGACAGATATTTCACAAGAACTAAAAATATGATGGCTCGATACCAAGAGCCTTCTTTTGAATAAAAAGTATCCTCGTTCTGAAAGCTTATTTAAATTGTAAATATTTTATAAACAAGGGGTGAATTTAATATCTTAATAATTTAGATAAAGCTATTGCTTCTTGCAACTTACCTCCAGATAATAATTCGTAAATATCTGTAATTAAAATGTGCCATCAGTAATTTCAAACTACAAATAATTGAAGCAACAAACTGTTTCTGCAACAAACTTCTGAAATTCTGATCTGATTGAAAAATTGACTCACCCTCTGATAATTGAGATACTGCTGGTCCTGATCCTACAAAAAATTAACAAAATTGTTTTGAACATAAATTATATGCAAATAAAGCACTGAACTTAATTTTTTCAACTTTCAAATATGTTTTTTTATGCTATTTTTTAAAAAAAAAAAACTCTTTGATGTTTTCTCGTCGCTTAAAAATTAATTTTTTGCATTCTCTTGATCATGGTGAAATCATACACCAAAACAGTTTTGTTTTTTAAATACTTCCTTACCTGTGCTGGCGTAAAATTTTGATTTATTTTCTAAATAAATCGTTATTATATGAATCAAAGATTTCAATAAATTATTTTAGCATCCTTTAATTAATATCTCTTTTATATGATCTGCATAAATTAAAATTTTAATATTCCTATTAGAAATTTTTTGCACTCAAAGATTTAGTTCACATACTCAAACTAAATTCCACACACTGCTCCTAAGCTGCTAGTTTAGGATGAGAAAAGGCGTACTTTTAAACGATTTCAACTATTCAGACAATTTTGTTACAACAATTTTAAGTATCATTCCGTTGTTCAAACTGTTTTAGAAATTGAAACAGAAATAAACACTAGTCAGAGCTGACCCATTATTAATCAGTGATTTTTTTGTTCCATTTTTAATATCTCGCGAACTTTATATATTTTTTAAATATGCAGATACATCGGAAGTACAAGAAAATTTATAAAATTTTTTTTTGATTTTTAAACATAAACATCAATGTCTTTACCTATCCATATTCAAACGTGGATGAAGTTGTATGCCTGTACATTTCGAGATGAAGCCAAACACTGCGCATGTTCGGTAGATGATGCATATGCAAAACATGCTTTTATTTAATTTCTCTTGCTTGTTCTTTCATTGCGATGCCATTATAGAAATTACATATCTCTTGCTTTTAAAATTTCTTCAATTTCATTAATTTATTTTTTTAATCCTTCTTGATCCAACTTTAATTAAATTAAATCAATTATTTAATTTTTATTACATTTTATGAAAAGTAAATATAAATATTTTATTATTTTCTTAACAATCAACGTCTATTTTTTTAATTCAATACAAATGTATTGCTCAATAATTCATTTCTGGGACTAAATCGAACATCAAAATATATTTTTACTCTTTATTCCATAAGCTGCTTTATTTCTCTAAACTCAAAAATGCTTTAGTTGTAGGGTTATATTAATTTTTCACAGTCTTTCTGGTTATTAAGATATAGCCAATTTATTTAAATATTAACATGCGATATCGTGTGCAGGATAAATTAGCTTTTCTTTCGGTTGTGTCATGTTTCGGTAATCCGCTTATAATGGATGTTCTCCTATTCTACATAGCAGTGATTAAGTACATTAGAGTTAATATGGATTTTGAAAAGGCAGATCAAAGGAGATTTTTTTGCCATGGTCAGTCCTTATTGATATTATTATGCAAAAATTTATTATTTCATTTAGAAAGTCATTTGGAAAAATATTCCTTTAATTTTATATCTTGAGCTCTAATACTACTATTGAATAAAAGTTTCATTATGATTATGATTTAGTTTTCATCATCAACTGCCAGTTTCATTATCCTGCTATTTACTTCAATCATATCATCTACACCAACCACACCAAATTGCTATTATAGTCATGTATAAATGTAATTTTGTTGTGCAATAATAAAATGTCTGCTTCCTTCACTTCTTAAACATTTTTAGCCTTTCCCGCTAACCTAAAATTTTTATCCTGAACATTTTTATGAAAATTAAATTATTACTTATTTCGGATTTAAAATTTTTTATTAATATAAAGTAAAAATACTTGTATAAAAACTTCAAGCAATTTTTTAAAAAGATGTAAGTTTCTTCAAAATTTTAAAAATTATTCTTTGGTAATTTTGGTAATGCGTGATAATCAATGGTACTGTTTTTCTCAGTACAAAAAGCACTAATATAGATATTTAATGTATCTATGGTCCCCCAACAAAGATAAGTACTGGAGAAAGTTGCTCGATCATACTAAGTTTTGACTATCAGGAATCGAAATCTAACAATATAATATTGCTTTAAAAAATATAATAATGTTTAAAGTATGTAAGTGTTTTGCTCAATCTAATAACGTAAAACCTCTGAAAAGTGCAGAAAAAAATGAGAAAAATATTATAAAATAATAAATAATTTAATTTGTCGATAATATGCACTTTATTTATGTACTTTTCCCCCCGTACGAAGAACGGGTGTTAAGCTAGTTATTAATCAACCTAAGTAAATTTATAAGCATAATATAAACAAACAAATAGAACTGTATGTTAAACTGATAGCTTTTAACGTTTTATTTCTGTCCATTTTTTGCCCAGTTAGTTTCAGCCTCTCATTGCCAAATTAAGAAAAAAATATTCATTTTGAAATTCGAAAAGAAAAATAAAAAGAACATATGTCTAAATATTCAGTTTCAGTTTCGTGAAAAAGGAATTTTCTCAATTTTTAATGAAGAAAGCCATACGTGTTCGATAATAAAATATCAAAATTACTTTTTTCAAATATTATCTTCTAATTTTAAGAAATAATAATAATAATCATAATAATAATATATTTTATCACAAATTTTATCTGCATAAGAAAAGAAATATTTACGTAAATTAATAATAATTATGCATTTTTAATTTTATAATTCTCATTTTATAATGATCATTTTTTAAGTTATATTTAATTTTTTAAGTTATATTCAATATTTAAAATAAAACTGTTGTTTCATTCGACTAACCAGATAATAGTTCATAGATTTCTAAAATTAAAAATGTGCCTTCGTTAATATATAACCATAAATAATTCAAATAATAACCTACTATATATTTTCTTATACAATATACATGAGAATGTCCTTGAAATCATTTGTAGGTGCTTCGTGTAAAATTACAATGAGTTGAAAACGGAAAGTTTAAAAAATATATATAACCAGGTCAGGCTTTACTTAATTTTTTCTCTTTTTTCAAAAAAAAAAATTCTTTTCCCTGTTTTCATTAGGGTACAATTAGTATACTTATCACCAATAAACACTTTGCAGTTTTAATATAGGTATTGTGGAAAGAGATTTTTTACGCTCTCGGATAAGTAGTGGAGAAAATTGCTCGGTTGTCTAAAGTTTTCTGTCATAAGTTGGTTTCAAACAAGAACATCATGCCAAATGATACTGAATACAATTAAGGTTTTTACATTTTTTTATTTGTATTGATGGGATGGGTCACTAAAAATGTCTTTGCCTATTCCAATGAAGGAAGTCCAATGGGAAGGGAAAAAATATTATTAAATAAAAGTGGAATATTTTTAGTTTTACTGATAGTGTTGGCTTATAACTTTCAGTTTTGTGCATGATTTAGTGGAAATTTTCAACTCTCATTTATTGATTTTTTCACTTCGTACAAAAAACGGGTATCTTGCTTTTATATAATATTTTATAAAAAAAAAACTATTCTAACTTTAAACTTCATTTGAAAACATAAATATCATGAAAAGGAAAAGTCAATTTCTAATGAAAATATATTCAAATATATTGCGCTTTAAATTATTTAATCCAATTTCTTCTATGTTAATGATAAAACAATTATGAATGAAGAAGAAAATATGTTTTTTTCCTGAACAATTAAATTTGGCATTATTTTCACAATTGCTTAAAAACTGTCAAATTAAATCTTAAAAATTTATTTTATAGTAGCTAACTCACCTGAAGATGATGGACCTAAGTAAATAATAGTAATTGTATTAAAAATGTATTGTATATTTCTCACTAAACAGTAAGAATCTTACATCTGGCAGAATAATTAAATTTATACTCTACTAGTAGGTAGCTTACCTATTTTTTTTTCTTTAGTTTAAAAAAAAGTAATACTTATCATCAATCTTTTCATTTTACTGACATGTAACAACAATTATAAAAATGAAACAAACCAAAATCTTTAAGAATATTTGTAAATTATAATTTTTTGTAAAACTAGAATATTTTGTTTAAAAACTAGTCTAAAATTTATATATTCTGTGAAGAGTCATCACTTTTTTCAGAAAACTGTTGTAGATTTTATCGTATTCTTTTGTTTAAATATAAAATGGAAATCTATTTCATAAGTATATATTTTCTGAAGAACTGTAAAGATTATTAGCTTTTTTAAGATTTTATGGCTTGTATATTTAGAGTTTTTCTCATAATTTCTTTAATTTTTTTTTTTTTGAAAAATGAATTTAAAATATTTAAATCAAAATTTCGCAAAGAAAATGTTAACAAAAAATGATAAAATTTTTATCTGTATTATTTTTCAAACTATTTCAGCATCCATGCGACATATTGAAAATATTTATTCAAGTTTTATTTTTCAAGATTTTTTTCAAGTATTTTTTAAAGCATATAGAAAATATGAATGCGTATTTAGTTCAAAGCTATATATTAGGCTCTGAACTCATACTCAAATCAAGTCCTATATTAGCCTTTTTACCGTTTAATAAAAATATCACGCCAATTGCATTTAAGTATTCGCATAAAAACAAGCCTCAAATTGTATATTAAATTAATTCAACTGGAAATGTTTCGATATTTATTTAATTTTTTTTCATTCATAAAACCTACCCTGAAAAAAATCTGACAAATTATCCCAGAATATATAAAATTTACCGTGTTTTTGGTTCTAAGGCAACACCAATATGCTAAGTAATGTTTTCAGTAGATTTTCGGTAATAATTTTGGTAATATTAATAACAAAATGAAGTTATGTAATATGTGTTAACAGAAGAATTTTGTTATTTTATCATGATAGTTTAAAGGATAACATAAATAATATTTATTCGCCTAAAGTTACTTTTTAGTGTTGTTTTTTTACTAAATGTGTGGTAATAAAAACTATATTTTTGAAATCTTGAATTTCCAGCACATCGTTACCATACGAACGGAAAAACTACCAAATGAAGTTGTATATTTTAGTTACATTAACTAGAATTTCACTACCAGAAAAGGATACCAGGAAAAGGATACCAGAAAGGAAGGACCAGGATATATATATATATATATATATATATAGTATGAAAATTTCACCAGAGTTTTTTCTCAGTGCATTTAAAAATTTAATATACTAGTACATCAATATACAACCTTATTTCATAAAAAAATTTTATTCAGAATATTTTCATTTGGTACAGATAAATTTCATATTTTGTTCAATTGAGCTTAAGAAAAATAGATCGTTTGAAAAAAATCGTATTATTTCTTAAAAAAAAATATAATTTTATAAGTACTTTTTTTTAACATTTAATGTTAATTTTATACTTAATTTTTATATGAAAACATATTTTGAATCACAAATATATGTTTTATAGCTTATTAAATGAATTACAAATCCATCTAAATTGTGATATGCACAGTAAAAAAATTCTGAAACAAATTGCTCTATTATAAAGCCCTGGTATTTTGGGTGCATCATCCATAAAATCCATTTTTATTGTAAAATGTTATGCCATAATTTTTACAAAAATATACTTTTATTTAGAGTGGTTCAGTGATTTTACTGTAATTATTATTGTAAAAATTATGGTATTTTAGATATTTTGTACGGTCACACATTCAGTTAAAAACAGATTTTATGACATACGGTGTACCACCTAACTAAAGTGTCGGTACTTTTAGCCGAAATTTGATCCGAAGGTTTTTGCATTGTGTATATTTCGAAACGTTCATTTTATTGTTTTTTTTAAACTGCTGAACTCCTAATATTTCAAGCAAAATTATTGTTTCATGTGACTTACTTCCAGATAATACTTCATAGATTTCTGCAATTGAAAATTTGTCTTTATTAATTTAAAGCAATAAACAACTGAAAGAACAATCAACTACAATGATACAAAGATTTCATTAAAATACATCAGATTATAATGAAAATGAGTTTCTTAAAATATAAATTAATTTAAATCTTGAAAAATTTTCCACGGTTCAGAAATCAGTGGTGATATTACATTACAGAAAACTCCAAGTCTCTAAAACATTTGACACCTATCTGGGACTGAGTGTGAGAAGTAAAACTTCAATCAACGTCGTAGTAAGGTGAATACTTTACCCAAGTTACTGACAAGCAGCTATTTACTTGTGGAAATAATTACAAAACATTAAAAAATTTGAAAGACGGGAAAGTACATTGAAAGACAATTTTTTTCTCCATATCTGTTAACGATAAATTTGTAGTTATGTAATTGAACACGAGAAATTACGTAGTTTTATTATATTGTTTTTTTTTTCCTGTATATTTCTACCTACATTTTTGTGTATTTCTACATACATAATTCGCATTATAAAGAGACATATTATTATTAATATTGTTTTTCAAAAAGTCATGTGTTATATATTAGGAACAAATGCTGTTCCAACTTTAAATTTCATTTGAAAGCACAAAATGTAAGTATATTCAATTCATTCATCACTACGAACGAGATAACTCGTCTTATAGGAAAACTATAGCTGTGCTCCATTTTTGTTTTAATGAATATGGTTATTGATTACAATTGATTATTATTTTTTTAGGCAAAATAAACAACTTTTAATAAAATTCATTTAGATTTAAATTTAAATTTTAGTGTTGCGGGGGAACTTGAAACGCAGAGTATGAGACATTATTATTTTATTTTGTTAAGTACTGGGGTCTGAGATGGCTGTTTGAGAAGTCAAAGACCCATTGTTAACTGAATCTGTTTGGAAAACTTTTGGCTTAATGTAAAGCTTTGTCATCCATGAAAAATGAGACAGAAAAAAATATTTACGAGGACATTTAAGAAAATAAAGTTATTCAATGTATTTAAATTTCATACATTTCTCTAGCTATTGCCTTTTTTGTCACTGAAACAACTCAAAGCTTTTAATTAGAGCAGAATTCACACCACTAAAACTTCTGGCATGTATAGGTAAGCGAGATGAATTTCATTTTGAGAGAATCGTCGAATCGTTTCAGGAAATAAATAACAATACAGGGAAACATTCGAAAGAGCGAAATTCGCAGTCTGTTCATTAAAAACTAATTTTTATGCGCTAGAAAAATCCCATTTTGCTAACACACACTGTCTTTTTTGTCAGTCTTTTAACGAAAACTTCTCGTGACGTAAAATAAATTCTTTTAACATTATAACAAAAATTCAAAAAGCATTAATGAAACTTTATTTTTTAGTCTTAAAAAGGAAATACGAAATAACGGTTCACGCAAGTCATAAACCTGTTTTGCATAGATGACTGAAATTGAGCTTATATTGAGGCGTAAAAAATCTCACAGACTTCAATTCAATGCTCAGTGTGTGCTTAATATATTCAGAAAATAAATGTTCAAAGCCTAAATTTCTTGAAAAAATATAAATTAAATGTATATTCAAATAAGCTATGAATTTAAACTATTTTTTGGTTAATTTTAAAAAAGTAGTTGTTGAAAAATTATTTTAAATCAGATTTTCTTATTTTTTGAGCAGGGGAATTTAACAAAACGTTCACAATTTCGTAAATAAAATATATGTAATTTATGTAGATATATTGTATGTAACTAACTTACGTGAAGATGTTGGAACTAAGTAAATGGTAAAAAATACATTATATATATATGAATCAAAAAAATAATTTTATATTATTTTAATAAGAATAAAATATTTTTTTTTTAAAATCTAGTCTAAAGTTTTCCAATTTCAAACTTCATGACTACAGTATTTTTTTGTCGTACAAAAAATTGAAAATTAAATTTATAAGTATTTATTTTGAAAACAAAATTAGTATTACTTTTTCAAAAAATTACAAAATTAATTTTACTGCTTGTATAGATAATTTATACATTGTTATTAAAAAAGAGGCTTTATAATTTCTTAATTTACAAGGTAAAATTGAATATGAGTATCATATTTTCTTAACAATATTGCAATTAATAGGCTCCATTTAGATATTCTCGTGCACACATAGCTGTTTTAAATGTAAATATCTCATCCGAATTCAAAAATTGTTTCATTAATTCGAGCAATTTACAATTCATTAATTTATTTTTAACTAAACATATTTTCCCATACAATATTTTCTTTTTAAAAAATAATTGTTTAAATTTATATCAAATCACACGAATTTTAAAATTGTTTTATTCATTTGGGCAAATTATAATTCAGTCATTTATTTTTATTTTCACAAATGTGCCAAACAAGACAATATTTTAATTTTTCAAGAAAACAATAAAAGTAACTCTCTAAGCATATTTATCTGTACATCATTGCTAAAAATATTTATTCAGAACTGGAATAATTGTTCGTAAGTAGCTAACTATTTGAAATGTAAGTTTTGCAAGCAGAAGTGAAAGATATCTGCGAATCTAAAAATAGATACTGTGATTTCAAAATTGTATTTATAGCAAAATAATTATTATTGTTTTATTATTTTTATGATTTTAATAATTTGTCATTATTTAAATTATATTTAGATCTTTATCTTTTATTTATTTTTTTAACATTGAAAATTAGTATATTATTTTTCTGTAAAATATTTAGAAAGTTATAATAAAAGCTTACATCCTATTTTATAACGTATTTTTATAAGTATTATTTTCTCTATGAATATTTATAAAATAAGACAATTTATTTTTAATACATTTTAAATACTTTTTGATTGAAATGCAGTGGATTCCAAAAAGAAATGATATGTGCATTTGAAAATAATAATTTTATGATGTATCTAAACTATCAGTCTTATATTAAATTAAAACCATTGTTTAATGAGACCTACCTCCAGATATTACTTCAGATATTTCTTCATAAATTACTACAAGAAAACATATGTTGTCTGTTAATAACTTGCAGTTGTAAAAAACCGATGCAACAATAGACTATATTTCGGAAAGTTTTTCAATAAAAAATATATTAGGATATACTGGAATTCATTTATCTGAAGCCGCATGTAAAATTACAAAGATTCAAAATCCTAAGGTTCCTTTTTAAAATGTAAAATAAAACAGCGAAAAATCTATGCCAGACAAAGTTTATGGAAATAAAATTATTCAAACTCTGTAAATTTCGTAAATAACTGTAAATATATATCGCTTTTTTTCTTTGCTTCGAAACCAACAGGTGTATTTTATTAAAGTGGAATCCATAGCACTGAAGCATAACAGTTTTATCAAGAGAATATTTCAACTTAAGAAAATCCACAATAGGAAAAGACTTTCTCGAAATTTTAAAGCAGATTATCCTGAGAAATAAATAACAATACCTTGAAACACATAACAGTCTGAAATATACTCTGAAAATTCGCCATGGTCAGTTTAAGAAAAACTAGTTAATCGTTAAATAAGGTTCGTGTTCGAACAATAACCTACCTAATTTCACAAACATTGTTTTTTTTTTCTCTTTTGGATCATTCTTTTCATCTCATTGTTTTATTTTTATATAAATGAAGGTCTTAATACGATAAATATTTCTTTTAATCTTTTAAAAAAACCATTTTTGGAACCTTATTTTTTAGTGTCAAGAAGGCTGTAAAGATGAAAATGGTATCCCCGATTATTAAACAAGTTTTGTATTAATAGTCGCTATTTAGCATATAGTCAAAAACCACAAAGGTTAAGAAATTTATTAACCAGTGTTAGTCTAATATACAATGAAAAAAATTTCATTTAATGAATTTCCTCAATTTCATGACAAAACATATTTTGTCTGTTTAAACAAATCAGTTTTAAGTTTAAACTGTTTTAGTTTTTTTTTTTCAATTTTAAAGAAAGAATTGTCAAAATATTAAATTAAATAAAAATTTTATTTTTCATAAAAAGGGATCTGTAATATCATAATTTTCACAATCTCATAATAAAAGGTTCAAATTTGTTTATGCAGATATATTGCACGTTACTAACTTACCAGAAGATGTTGGGGCTGAATAAACAGTAAGAAATACATTATATATATATATATATATATAATTAAATTTGAAAAAATTAGAAAAATTAATTTTTGCTATACTTATCGATAAATTAAAGCAAAACAGCAAAGGAATGCATTGTATTTTTTTGAGATTATAAGAATGTTAATTTTCTATTAATTATTTAAGCCACTGACACAATTTAGTATAACTGCATTTATAAAAAAGCATTTAGATAACTTATAATTGTTTAATTTTAGTAGAAAGATGTCTTGATATCTAGTTTAAAAATTTATAATTTCAAATTTCAAGACTATCGTACTTTGTTTCCAGTGTCTAATAAATAATACAGGAATTGTAAAATTAAGTAGGTTTATATTTCCTAATCAAGATTATTTCCTTTTTTTCTGATTTTCGTTATAATTTTTTTATATATAAAATATATTTGAATATTTCTATTCATTATAAAATATTTTAAAATACCATAAGTCGTTTTCAATCCAATATAAATCCCATTTATTAAATTGTGAAATGCAGAGGCTTAAAAAAAGAATATAAATGTTTAAAAATATTTATTTTATAACGTATCTAAACAAATTATCAAGCCAATCATTCTAAGTGAAACTATTGTTTTATGAGACCTACCTCCAGATATTACAGAAGATAATACTTCGTATATTTCTGCAAGTAAATATTTTATAAATTAGCGTATAATATATAAACAGCAATTATTGAGCAAGAGAAGTTTCTCCTTTACAAAATCTTCCATATTCTTCTATTAACACTTTGTTGGACGATACCTTTGCAGCAATTTACTTAAGAAATAATTAAAAATTCCTTGAAATGAGTGAAATACACAGGAAAAACCGGGAGTCTGTTTTTTAAAAACTCTTTTATAAGCGTTAGAACAAAAATTTACCTTGTTACACAGAAAGTCTCCATCCTTTGACAAAAATGTTTCGCAACGTTCAAAAAATATTTCTTCTAATATCGTAATAAAATTATGTAAGTTTCAAGGAAAATTAAACATTATTAATAAATTATAATTCAAGGATTTATTATATTCCTAACGTAAATGTAAAACTCTCAAGCTGGTTTAGTCCTGTATAATTTAATGTAACATCATGAAAAAATTTATATTACCTATTGGTATAACAGGAGACTATCTTATTCGGATACATATTTAAAAAAAAAAATTTTTTTTCGGGAGAAATTACTGAGTATGTAGTAGAAATTCTCACAAGTTTTACAGGAATTCATTACCCAGTGTGTGGATACATTGAAAAAAAATGTATAAACCCTAAATTTGATGAGAAAACATAAATTGCCTACATATTTAAATTTTTTAAAAATTTAAACGCCATTTTAAAGTTTATTAATTTTAATGAAATAAATGACGAAAAAATCTTTTTCGTTTTTGAGCAGGGAATTTATAAAAATTTTCTTTATGCAAATATGCTGTAACAAACTCACCTGATGATGTTGGAACTAAATAAATGGTAAAAAATTCATTATAATATATANTTAAATGTGTATGTTTGCGAGTATATGAGTGTATATCACCCAAATAAATAAGAATCTAACACTTAAATTTTTCTGAAAAGCTAACTAAAATTAATTTTATACTTTGCTTATAGGGCAATTAAAACTAAACAGCGAGTTGGTGCATTGATTTTTTTTAATTGTAATTAAAAATTTCGTAATTTTGCAACTTTATTTCATATCATTGGCACAATTATATGTAGTTACAAATATCAAAATAAAAAAAGAACTCAAAAACTCATAGTTGTTTAATTAAGAATGAAACTTTTACTTTAAATTTAATCCTTAGCTTTCCAACTTTAGAATCCAAGACTATCGTACATTTATCGTCTTTAAGTAATTAAACAAAAAATGGAAACATTCTATTTATAAGTATATATTTTCTAAACAAGATTGTTATTATTTTCCCCTAGATTTTAGATTTTACTACGTTTTACATATTTTATACTTTAAAATTTACACAAAACAATTAGAAAAAAGCGGTTCTTTATTTTTTTTTCAAGGTAGGATTACCTAACAATATCATATTTTCTTAACAATGTTGTAATTTTGAAGCACCATCTCGATTTTCTTTTTCAAAAATGCTCGTTTTAATTTTAATCAATTTCATATAAATTGAAAAAATATTTGCATTAATTAAAACTATTTTACAATCTATTTATTTACATTTAATTGCACATAATAATCATACATTACAATATTTATAATTTTCTTGAATAATTCAGTTTAAATAAAAAAGGACATTTATTTATACCTCATTATTAAAAATATTTATTAAAGCTCTGCAATACTTCCTTGCAAATAGCTAATTATTTAAAACATAAGTTCAGCAAACAAACAAAATAAAAATTTGTAAACAACAAATGTAAAAAAATATAAGAACATGTATTATAATATGTATGTGGAGTTCAAAATTAGATTTTTGGGAAAAAGTTTATCATTATTTTATTATTTTTTTATTTATACTAATTTATTATTATGTAAATTATTTTCGACCCTTTAATTTCTATGTCATTTAAATATTAAAAGTTTTTATATTATTTGTCTTGAAAATATCCAGCAAGATATTATATTTTATAAGACATTTCTATTAAGGTAGGAACGAAAAATAAAACATTTATTGATGGGAATAATTGAAACTTTGAATTAAGGGTTTAAGACTTTGAATTTAAGTGATCGTTTTGATAGGATAAAATATTCATATTAATGGAATAAGTTGTATCAATTTCTGAAAAGTCAGTTTCGAAAAAAAAATGGAAATTATTATATATTTTGTTGAAACAATTTTTTTACTATAAACATGCAATATTTATGAAAAGATCCATTCATTATTATTTTTTTTATAAAATAAGTTGTTTCAATTACGTATTGAAAGCTTTTTATTTAAATAGGGACTCCATGCAGATTATCACTTATATTAATTTAATTAAAAAAAATATTTTTTTTGACTTACCTCCAGATATTACTTCAGACGTTACTTCGTATATTTCTGCAAATTAAAATATGCTGTTAATAACTTGTAAATGGAAATAACTGAAACTACAATAAATGAAACTTTAGGAATTTTTCTGTAAAAAATATATACATCAGATTATACTGGAAATGGTTTAAGGGAAGCCTTTTGTAAATTTCAATGATTTAAAAACGGAGTGGTTTATGTTTGAAATATAAAGTAAAAAAGCAGAAAAATATTTACTAGATAATATTTAAGAGAAAAAAAGTAATTTTAACTCTGCAAATTTTGCAAATTCGTGAAGCGTTAGCCTTTTTTGCACTGAAGTATTTTATTATATTAAAATCAAACCACTTAAACATGAGACATTCAGAGTTCAACAAGAGGAGTTTCTCCTTGCCTGAATCTTCATTAGAAAAAGATTTTCCTCATCCTCAACACTAACTTTTCAATAATTTACTGCTATTATCAAAAAAACATTTGAAAGAGTGAAATACACAGTGTGAAAGCTGCATAGTCAGTTCACGAAAAACTCTTTTAAATGTGTTTGAACAAGAACTTACTTTATTTAAAAGACTGCAAAAAGATTCTGAAATCTTTCATGAAACTTTGATTCTTTCTTTTATAAGAAAAATAAAGATATAAAACTTTTAATTACAGATTTTAACACAGATTTTAATTTATTGTCCAGTTAGAATACGTATATTGAAAAAAACATGTTAATGCGAAATTAAAAATTGTACATACATTAAAACTATTTTAAAATCTATCACATTATTTTCTTGTTAATTTTAATTTGTACTAAGTGCCGAAAGTTAAAGCTCAATTAAAATTTTTGTTTTTTAACCATTGAAATTCAACATGATTTTCACAATTTCTAAAATGAATTTCAAATTAATTTCATGGAAAAAATGTTTTCTATATATCTCAACGGAAGATGTTGGAACTAAGTAAACGGTAACAAAACCTTTTTAAAAACAAAAATATGTTATAAGAGGATTTCGAAAAACAGTCGTGTGAACATATCTTAGTAACATGTGAAACGTAAATTGCATATTCAAGCAAATTTATTTCAAATTGTTTAACTCATATTTAATTTGTTGATTTTTAAGAAAATTTTTCGAAAAGAACCTCAAAATAAGTCTTTATGTTATGACAAATTGATTTCTCACATCGGTTTCCCAATTTTATATAAAGTTTCACATTCATTTTTGAAGTTAAGAGTTTATTAAGCTAACTCACCAGAAGATGGACCTAAATGAATAGCAAAAAATGCATTTTAATGCATATATATATACATAATATATATCAAAAGTATAGTAAGAATGAATCTAGAATCTGTATTCTATAAATGTTTAAAAAAATCTGGAAGAAAAAAAAACATGCTGCAATCAAATTTGTATTAGCGGGAAATGTAATCTTATTTTCATATCATTTTTTTATATTATTTTATTTTTATTCAAATTCTATTTATATGTTGCACTTTTATATTATTTTCATATTAAAATATTACATAAAAACTTGACAAAGTATTTTGATAAAAATATTTCTTTTTAAATTTAAAATAGTGTCTGAACCAATTTATTATAAATTATTAATAATTAATTTCGGAAGTGAACTTTGATTTTCTTAATTGTTTTCAAAAATTCATTCACTGAATAAAACACTTGTAATAAGTTTTAATGAATATATTTTTAAATGAAATTTTCAAATAAAATAGGAAATAAAGATAAGTCTAATTAGAAATTTATTAATACCTAAAAATGAAATATTTTTGTACATTTCCTTGCATTATGAAAATTTCTATTGTAATAGAAGCTTTTATTGTGTATTGTAAACTAGTTATTTAAATTTAAAGACTTAAAATAAGGAATGATATTCGTATTTTATCTTTTAATTTTAGTACGTATCTTATCAGGTTTTAAATTTATGATATTTCAACTAAAAATCAGGCTTACCACCAGATATAAATTCAGATATTACTTCCTTTGCAATGACTATATGCTTTTAATAATATGTCACTATAAATTACCCGATTACACTATAAATAAATAAATAAAATTAAAAAAGTTTTGGAATAAAAAAGAAGACATACAGGATCTCATTTATGTAAAGCCTCATGTAGAATTTAAAAAAGGAAGGTTTCTGTATAAATGTAAATTAAAAAGGGGGAAATATATTCTCAAGATTTAAAGGAATTAGGGGAATAAAATTATTAACACTCTGTAAATTTCGATACATTATTTTTTTCTGCTCTGAAATTACCGGATGCCTTTTATTAGAGTAGAATCCGAAGCACTAAAATACACGGCATCTGTATTTTAACAAGAGAATTTTCATCTTGAGAGAATTTTCGAGAGGGAAAAACTTTGTTCAACACTAACTTTGTAGCAATTTGCTTAAGAAATTAATAACAATACTTTGAAACATTCAATACAGTAAAATGCGTAGAGGAAAAAGAATTGTCCCCCTTATACTGAAAAAAATTGATCCATTCTAAGCTTAATGTGAAAATATAAGTTGTATATAGATTCAAATCAGTTTTAACTATTACTTATTTTTTAATTTTTAATTTTGAAGGAAAGTAGCCGAATTAATACTTATAGCAATGAAGTTTGAAATTATTTACACAATTACAAAAGAGATTTTCAAAATTATTAGTGCAGATAATATTTTTCTAACTAACTTTCCTGAAGATGTTAGACTTAAGTAAATAGCAACAGAAGCATTTTTAAACCAAAAATATGTCAGAATCGTACCTCAAAACACAATCTTGAGAATACCTATGTCTAACATGTGAAAATTTAATTGTATGGATATTCTAATTTATTTGAAAGCATTAAATCCACTTTGCTTTATTCATTTTTAAAAAAATACTTCCGAAAACAACTGAAATTAATTTTCCCTATTTTATAAAAAGTTTGAAATTTTTTTAAGTTATGAATGTAGGTAGCTAACTCACCTGACGAAGTTGGACCTACATAAATGCCAACAAAAATATTTTAAAATATACATGTCATATATTTAGCATGTAAATCAATAAAAATCTCTTATTGAGATTTTAATAAAAAAAACTAACAAAAAATAATTTCAAAATATATCTATAGGTAATTTAAACTGAACAATAAAGTGGTGTATCTCAATGTCTTAGGGGAAAAAATTACCCATTTCATTTTGTTATATACGCATTTACATGTTACCACATATAGAGGAATAAAAAAAAACACTTACAAAACTTATAAATGTTAAATTTCAATAAGCATAAAACATTTTCTTTTATTCTAGTCAAAAGCTTTACAATTTTAAACTCAGCAAATTTCATAAATTTTGTAACTATATCCTTATTTTACTCTGAAACCAACGAGAGCATTTTATTAGAATCCAAACTACTGAAATATATAACACTAAGAAGTTATCAAAAGAAATCTCTTCCTGAAAAAATCTTTATAAAAAAAGCTTTTGTTCAACACTGATTTTGCTGCAAATTATTAAAAAGGATGAAACTATACCCTAAAACATTTGATAGGTTGAAATACTTAAGAAAAAAATCATCAATTTTCGAAAAACTCTTACATAAATGTTTAACAAGAATTTACTTTGTTTAACAAATTGCATTGCAAAAAATTTTTAAAAACATTGATGAACCGTTAATTCTTTTTTTCTTAAGAAATGAAATAAAGATGAAAAAAACTTTACTTAAGCTATTAATAAGTTTAGTATAAATCGCCATCTTGGAGTATTTAATAGAAAATCTCCTAGATTTTAATCCATTGTCCTGTGTGTATAAAATATGTCTTGAAAAAAAATTATCCAAATTAAATTTCATTTGAAAATACATATTGTATATTCATACAAATTAGTTTTTAATTTAATACAATTTTTTGTTTGGTAAATATGAAGCAAAATTGGCGAGAGATTTCCTCAAATTAGTTTTTTAACAATGAAGTTTAATATCATTCTCTTAATAGAGCTTCATATTAATTTTTGCCGATACATTTTTCTCTAACGAACTCACTTAAATCTGTACGACTTAAGTAAATGCTAAAAAAGGCATTTTAAAATATGTTATCCTTTTGTCCTCTTTTTACTTTGACATTGGAAAGAAATATTTTTAGAAAAATTTAAATTAGATTTTCTTTTCTGACCTAATAAGCCTAACATCCTATTCCTAGTTTTATTAAAAGTTTCAAATTAATTTTTGAAGTTATTTACGTAGCCAACTCGCCTGAAGAAGTTGTACCTAAGTAAATGGCAACAAATACATTTTAAAAACACATACGATTGCTGCATTTAGTATACAAAAAAGTTAGAAAATATCATTGATATTTTCATTAAAAACTAGTAAAACCATTAAAGTAATTTCATAATATATTTATAGGTGTGTTAATATTAAATAACAAATGGGTGCATCTCATTGTTTTAAGAGTAAAAAAATATTTGTCATTTTCAATTCTATTGAAGAAATTAGATATTACGACATTTATTGGGATGAAAAAAAGACAAATGTTAAATTTAAATAAGCGTATATCATTATTTGTTATCTAGTCAAAAGCTTTAGATTAGAATATTTTACTTAAGACTACCCTACTATTTTAACGTTATTTTTTGATTAAACTTAAAATGAAATATCAATTTTTAAATATATATTTTCTTGATATCCGTGAAGAATATTTATTTTTTTTTCGTTTTTGCTATTTAAATGCTTTTTTTCCTATTTTGAAAAGGAAAAACCATCATTGAAAAAAACAGGTTGCATATTTTCTGAATTTCTAGTGTATGATTACGTATCAATATTTTATTTCCTAATCAATTCCATAATTTAAGAGCATAAACCAAATTTTATGGTTGAAATATGGTTGTATAAAATTCAATCATTTCATCTACATTTAATTTTTAATTAATTAATGTTATCTACAATTAATTATTTTTAACTGTACATGTTTGTCATGTGTGACAATATTTTTTTCTTTCAAAATCTTTCTATTATAAGCATATGGAACATTTTTTTAAATATTTTATGTGAGCATATTTTAACAAGTACCACTTATTAAGCTGAAATATTTTCGCTTCGCTTCGAAAATTAATTTGCCTAATGCATCGTACAAAATGTTCACACAGTATGCACACAGTATCACTATTGTACTGTATTACAACAGTATTGTTCTAAAATAAATAAAATTATTTGAAAACAAGCAACTTTTTTGCACATTTGATCATAAGTATATAAGAACGTTAGTTTTGCTTTGCATATTTTTTCATTATTTTTTATCGAATTTTTGATTTTCTGTTAGTGTATGAAAAACTCGTATCTCGTTTGTTTTGTACTTGCTCTTTTACTTTATATTTTAATAACCACTCTTCAAAATCTTCATTTTTTACTCTGTGCTTTTTCTTAAGGTACTAGTCTTTGGATTTCAGACATTTTGAGTGTTAATGATGGAATAAAGGATTTAGAACTTTGCGTCCAGTGAAAAAAGTGAAATTTTAAAATATATGTATTGGTAAATTGCATGAAATTTCTTTTAACTATAATTTTCAAAGATTATTAAAATGCTTAGAAATCAAGCTTATATAAATCAAATAATGTAATTTAATTGGGTAAAAAATGAATAATAAATACTGTAGAGTTCAGTAATTTTTTTAGTTAGGATTAATTTTAAAGGAAAATTATATATAATATTTTATGCATTTAAATTCTAACCGTTTTTATTCCAAAATATTCTATAATTAACTTTTTTACAAGGAAATAATATTTTTTTTAAACTTACCTTGAGTTTTTTGCTCTAAAAATATTAAAAATGTATAGAGATTTTATATCATGCAGGTGAAATATTTAAGTATGATTTTTAGATAATAAGCAAAAAAGTCATCTCTGCTATTCTTTTTCAATAAATATTATTAAAACTGCTTAATATTTCTTATACATATTCATTTGAGTAAAGTATGCTTTTAAAACTTCGTCGAAAGATCATTTGAAGAAAAGAAAATTTAATTTCTATAAAGCAAACACTATGTAAGAAGGAACAAAAATTCTGCTTTAGAGAACTGAAAATTTTACGTTATTAAAATATAAAGACAAGCATACGATGGTATTCTATTAACGTCATTTATATCCATTCATTCCAAAATATTCTAAAATTAAATTCTTTACTAGGACAATAAATTTTTTTAAAACTTAACCTGAGTTTTTTGCTCTAAACAATATTAAAAACATTGGTATGTATAAAGTTTTTATATCATGCAGATGAAATATTTAAATATGATTTTTAGATAATGAAAGATAAAGTAATCTAGACCATTCTTTTTGCATAAATATTATTAAAACTGTTTAATATTTCTTATACATAAAAATATTTTTGAGAAAAGTATGTTTTTAAAACTTCGTTTAATGATAATTTAAAAAAAAAAATCGTAATTTCTATAAAGCAAGAACTATGTAAGAAGGAACAAGAATTCTGTTTTAGAGAACTTAAAATTCCTCTTTGTGCAATGTCCATCTTGGGCAAAGTATATAGAATATTCTTTTTATTTTATTTTATAAACACTTTTGTCTTTTTTTTCTCTACTTACATACACGCATAATGTTTGGTGTGTTTTTATCCCATCTATCTTAGAATTAAAGATAAAGCTTGTGTATTATCTTAAGGTTATTAAAAAATTATCTTTCCTTACTGATACATATTTATTGAGTTATTTTAAAATATATTTATTTCATTGTCCTAAAGATATTAAAATGTAAAAAGTATTTCGTTGAAGTTTATTAATAGTTAAAAAGCAGTACATTATTTTACTTTGTCATTTTTTGTATCTATATTAATCCATATTTATCTATATTTTATCAATGCTATAGGAAAGAAAATGAATTCAAAATGACAAATAAATTATTTTATATTTTTGAAAATTTAACTTCTTTTTTATTGAACTTGAAACTTTCTGTGTGTTCTCCAAGCACACGCAATTGACAAACACTTTTACTTACGATGTTGATGCTGTTGCAAGGCTGAAAAATACGTTGTATATAAATGGTATATATATATATATA